GGGGGGGGGGGGGGGGGGGGGGGGGGGGTAGCACGGCACGGCACTGCACGCACCCAGCTTCTCGCTGCTGACCTCGCCAAGCACCTTTCTATCGCTCGTGGGTGCCAAGAATCGAGCACAAGCGCTAAATCGTGCCCCGCGCGCGCATTGTGTTGCTTTCTCTCGCGCGCGCCCACGCTGCATGCAAACATGCATGGCTGGGCTGGGCTGGCTGGGCTGGCTGGGCTGGCTGCTTTCGCAATCGGAAGCAAATCTGCCGTCGTGGCAGATCGGCCGGCGACTTGGATGATTGCGATTGCCTCGAGGTGAGCGTCTGAACAGAGATGATTGCGCGCTCACCCCGCGAAACGCTGGCCTTTACCCCTCGTTTCCGTTGAGCACGGCGCGCGCGCGCGCGGGCGTATGCAGCGGCAGCGGCAGCAGCAGCAGCAACTTGGAGGCAAGGGCGCAGGCTTGGCGCGCGGAGCGGTCTCGGCGGCGACCATGGCAGCACGAGTCACGAGTTTGGCAGGACATCCAATCGGACGTCTCGGGGTGCAAATCTCGAACGCCGTGCTCTAGGCCACTAGTCAAGGTGGCATCATCCAAGCACTTGCTCTCGAGACCGATCTGACGATCAATGACTGGCACGGTGAGGTGACGCTCCATTGCTCGCAAGCTTCACCTTTGCAAGCGTCATCTCTCCAAGCGTCATCTCTCCAAGCTCCACCTCTACCATCACCACTCCCATTCATCCAGCTCGCTCGGGAGGCGCAGATACGCAGGCCAACGAAGCAGCAGCAGCGGCAGCTACACCACCACCACCACCACCACCACCACCACCACCACCATCACCACCATCAGCACCGACACTCACCGGTATCGTCAAAGTAATCCGTCGTGTCCGCATCTACCACCAGCGGCTCATCCTCTCTCAGCGCAGCAAAGCTATTTCTAGCGCTCATCGTTGTCCACGCGGTGGGCTGCGATTCGTCAGTGAAGAAAGACCAGCTGCTGGTTCGATTGGATTGTACAGATCCAAACTTTGTTTGGTCGTTTCGCGTATCGGCACGTTAATCTCGTAAAGGTCGTGGCGGGGAGAAGCGCGTTGGCGTGGGGAGATGGCGAGAATGGCAGCGCAGTAGTCGTCAATGAGGAGGAAATGAGGATGCTTGTCTTCACTGTCGTCGTCGTCACGCCTTTCTATACTTTCGCAGATGGCGGGTAGTAGTAGCGCCAATTGTCACGAGTATGCGTCGTGCTGCGCGAACACCTATAATTGCCGTCCGTGCCGGCGCTTCATGTCCGCGCGGATGTCTCAGAGGGGCGCGCGTGTTTAGGGGGCGAGCCTAGAACGCGACCACGTTGCTCACGTGACGAGCAGGTCTGGCACGTGAACCGTGAATCGATCACACGCTCGACATGATGCTGAACGATCATGAAGGCACACTCTCGACTCCTCCGACTCGCGAGTGGTTTTCGCAGACGTCTTCACCTGCACGCCGGTCACCATAATCGTCTAGAGACGGGGTCATCTATTCAAGATGATGATGACAAAGTCCGTCTTGCGACGAAACACTACTTCAATGCCAACATCGTGCGCGTGTTGTTTCTCGCTGCGGGGCCACGCGAGCGACGGCTCATTTGTGATTGACTGATTTCATACTGATTTTGCCATTTAGGATGAAGACTGATCGGCCAACTACAATGCGAGAGCTATTGCGACGCGAATGATCGCCTAGTAAGCGCTGAAGCCCTGCGAAAAATACAACACAAGGGTGTGAGCTTGAGTTGTGCACCGTGAACAGCACCGCCCGCGACTCACTCCATCGACGAGGTAGCCTGCGCCAGTAACGTAAGTGGCCTTGTCACTGAGCAGCCAAAGAGCAGCGTCACCCTGCTCCTGAGGCTTGGAGAAGCGGCGCAAAGGAACGCTGGCAGCTTGCCAGTCGCGGATCTTGGCGTCCATTCCGCTGGTCTGCTCGGTCTCGCAGAATCCAGGCTCGAGAGCGTTTACGCGGATGCCGTGAGGAGCCCACTCGGCTGCAAGACCCTTGACCATGTTGGTCACAGCGCCCTTTGACGAGTTGTAGAAGATCTGGGTGAAGACAAGTCTGTGAGCCGTTGGGACGCGCGAAAACTTCTGCATGGCGTGGCGCTCACCTGAGTCAGGGGCTCATTGGGTCCTTGCTGGTTGTAGAGCTGCATTGCGGAAATGAGAGGTGCGTGATGAGGTGCGTGATGATGTACCGAATGCGCTGCTAGCAACACTCACGTTGGAGCTCATGGAGCTTGTAATGACGATGGATCCCTTCTTTTGCCTCTGGATCCAGTACTGAGCGACAGCTTGCGAAACGTTGAAAGCTCCGAGCACGTTGGCATTGAACACCTTGTGAAAGTCCTCCGTAGTGAGCTCCGTGGCAGGCTTGACGACGGAGACACCAGCGTTGGCGGCCAGACCGGTAATGGGAGTGCCCAGATCCTTTTCGATCTTGTCGATCGTCTCCTTGACGAGCTTCGAGTCGCCAACGTCAGCCTGGTAAGCCTTGACCTTGACGCCGTGCTTCTTGGCGAGAGTCTCGGCTGCTTCGTGGGCCTTGGGGTGAGAGTGGAAGAGGATGGCAATGTTGGCACCTGCGCTCGCCGCAGCCTCGGAGATGGCGTATCCTGTCAGAGGCCGCATAGGCGAGGTCAGCCGAGCCTCGAGAGCTGCGCACTACGCCACACCACGCACCTATACCGCGGTTGCCGCCAGTCACGACGACTGTGCCGCCAGTCAAATCAATAGTGTAGACCATATTGTATGCTGCTGGAGCAGGTCTAGCGTTAGTGTTGTGATGACTCTGTAACGTGCGCAACTTACCTATGAAATGTTTGGAAATCGCGTGAACAGTAGCGAGGCAGAGATGGTGGTGAGAAAGAGCCAGCGACGCTTACGCGGGCGGGCTCACGCGGGCGTCTCGAGCGATACAGATGTCTGCACGATTCGTGATTCGTGATTCCCTCTCCACGCCACACCCTCCACAGCTGGCGGCTTACCGCGCGCTCATACGGGGCATGCGTGACGTGTGCCCCGTGCGTCACTGGGTGCACCGATGTGTTCATCATGGTGGCGTCAGAGGAGAAGAGAAGCGTGTGCCTGGAACGGGCCGGAGAGATCGATTGCATGAAGCGAGCGCATGTTGCATGCGCTGCATGCAGCCAGCGCTCGATTCAGGCGTCCGACCGAGCAGCCTGCCGCGGCAGCAAAGCTCGAGCTACACCAACGCGCGTGTGGCTTGCGTCGTCATGTCGTCCCTTCTCCAGCAGCAGGCACGCAAATCAGCAGTCGATGACTTTGCCTCGGCACGCGTTGCGGCTTGTTGTGAGTTAACAGGAATTTACGTGAAAGCTCCGATCTTTATGCGTTGACGAAGGGCAGCCGTTTCTGAAGCGTGGTGCAGCACCGAAACTCGAGTCGAGTCGGATGCTACCCGCGCTCGAGCTCAAGGTGCTGGTCGACTCTGCTACGAATACATCGCGCCGCGGCTAAAGTAGTCGGTCGAGCAGCTCAGATGCCGCACCCCGGGATGGAGGTCGCTGCTACGGCGCGTTCACATACGGAGGGATCATCTTTACTAGTCAAGTCTCTCTTGTATGGCCTCCCCGCAAAACACCTTGCAATGAGCACAAATGTAGGGAGTCGACCGCCCCGGTACGTCACCACGGCACATAAAAACACTCGTGAGCGAGACATGGAGCAGAGTCCTCACCGCACGCCAAACCAAACCGCTGCTTAGGCAAGCGAACGACTCCCTGCGTCGACATGGATTCGTGAAGAATCTAAGTAATGAGTCAAGAATCCAGCGGAATGAGCTCAGGGGTCAAATCCAGCCGCGTCAGGGTTGGGAGAGTATTCTCCGAACCCCTCGTCAGAGGACCGAGTCTCCTCGGCTGGGAAAAAGTCGGCCGGGTCGAAAGCGTGAATATCCCTGCGAGCAGTGAGGTTGGCCAGATCCGGTCGGTTGAGCAGCTCCAGAGCCACTCGCAGAGTCTCCCAGAGCGCGCTAGAAGTCACGCCGGACTCGTTGACGTCGAGAGACTGTGCTTGAGGAGTCGAGGCGGCGGCCTCGTCGGTGGACTGCAGTGTCAGGGCAGTGTAGATGTGCGATGCTGCATCCCGATACATCTGCCATCAGAGCGCAAAAGTCAACAACAAACCAGCACTGCACTCTGGCTCGCGCGTAACTCACCTTGAGATTGAGACAAGAAATGCTCAGATTAAAGTGGCACCTGACGAACCCGGGCTGCAGCTCCAACGCATGGTGATAGTAATCCACAGCTTCGGCGCTCCTGCCCGAGTTGCTCAAAGTGGCCCCAAGTCGGTTGTATAGCAGCCAGTCGTTCGGACGAACGCTTAGTGCGGCAGAGAAGCAATCCACTGCCTTGTCGTAATCCTCGGACGCGTTGAAGAGGACGCCAAGGGCTACTTGGATGTCGGCGTCTACCACAGCACCTCCGGCATTGCTCGGCGGTCCTGCTCTAGCTATGGCCATAAGCGTGCTGGTAATGCGAGCATGGCGTTCGACCAGGCTAGCGATCTCAGATCCGCTCGTCGCAGCAGAGGCTTCATGCGCGCGCACTACGGCGGCATACTGATCGAGGGTATGTATCCAGCGCTCCGTCGCTTCCAGTGCAGCTGGGCGATCGTTCTCGTTCGTGTAGCTTACAGCCAGCGCTAACCACGCATCGCTCAGCGCAGGATTAATCTCGATGGCTCGGTGCAGAGCAGCAATGGCCAAGCCTTCTCTTTCGTTTTCTTGCTGCTTGACGCCAAGATCTAACCACGCGGACGCATCCTGAGGATCCGCTTGAACAGCGGCCTCACGTTCGAGCAGGCTCCGCAGGTCGTGCGAGAGCTCTTGCTCCGCGGCAACATGGCTCGCGTGTGTGTGCGTGGTGCCGACGTAGGGATTGTCGGCTTGGAAGCGATATGCTGGGGCGCTCGCAGCGCTCTCTGGCTTGCTGCGACGAACGTGTGCCCTCGCAGCGGCATTCTCCAAGCCCGTGGGACCAGCCATCCACTGATCCCAGTCGCTTTGCAGCTTGTCCCACTCTGCGCTCTGAGCTCCAGACACTCCTCGTCCAGCTCGTCCTGACCAAGATCGACCGACAAAGTCCCCTCCCTCCTCCTTTTCCTGCTCTTCGAGATTTTCCTCCCAGCCAGTGCTCGATTGTTGGGCGCCAGGTATGCGGCTGTACCGGGCATACTTTGCGTATTCCCGCGCCTCGATATCGTCCTCCATCATTCTCGCCGCGACATTTCCTCCATCTCCACTGAACGCTCGTGCCGCACGCTCTCTCGCTTCGCGTTCGATGGCCTCGCTGCGTGCATCCTCTTCTGCCCACATCTCGTCAAGGGCCGTTCGATCGCCCTGCTGAGCCGAGCCTGAGCGCACAGCACCGCGCTGACTGCTCATCCCAAGCTGACCCGTCTGGCCTTGCGAAAGCTGTGCTTTGGCTTGAGCGTAAGCCTCTTGCGCGTTTCGAGGCGTCGCCTGCGTCTGATCGCTCCCAAGTGAACTAGTGGACACCTCTCGTGCCTTTCCCTTGTCGGTTTGAGCAGCGCTCTGCGTATCGATGCTCTGATCCACAATTTCGTTGCCTTGTATGCCTGCTTGGCGATCTCTTAGCTTGCGCATGAGACCAAGGAACTGGCTGCCCTTGAACTTATCCGACGTCTCGTGATCGACGGTGGAGACGAGTCTTCCAGCGGTGCGCGCAAGCTCATCCCCTTGCCCATTGTTGAGCTCTGGCTTGCTGTCCGGACCGACCTGAGGACCCAACAATGGGGCGACGTGTGCCTCTCTGGTGCTGGAGGCTGCATCTTGGTCGTAAGACGTGAACGCCGAGTCCCACGACGATTCTATCGGAAGCACGCGGGATCAGCGCTTCGTGACAAACGGTCTCTACGCGCTCCACTCACGATCTACGTGGGCATATGCATCCCCTCGCTGCTGTTGGGATTGACTTGCTGCATGGTGACCGCCGAACGGGGTCAAAGCTGCAGATCTCCCTGCGAAGCGAGGCTGAAACAAGCTGCTACCATGAGTATAGTGGGGCTGCGCCTCTTGAGGAGCGTGCTGGCGCTGGCTCTCCATGAAAGGCTGCGGCGACTGCGATTGTGGCGAGCTGCGCTGTGAAAGTCCATGCTGGAGGCCCGGAGCGCCAAACTCCGAGGCCCAGCCGTTGGTGGAGTGGGGTTGAGCCTGTTGAGGAGCCTTGAAAGCAGAATCAAAGGCAGCAGAATGGTTGAACGGCGCAAGGTGAGCACCAGCAGGGCCCACGGGACCGGCAAAGGGCAAAGCGCCGCCCAACGGAGCGAGATCGAAAGGCTGTTGTTGAGAGCCATGCTGGGCTGCAGCAAAGCCAAAGTCTTGGCCTAAAGCTTGACCATGACGAGGCTGCACACTTCGAAAAGACTTGTGACGCAAGGAGAGCGCGGATTAGCTAACGGTGACAATCAAAGACTGGTGCGACTCACGCTACCCGAAGAGGAGCCCGCCCCAGCATTGTTGTACCTGTCCTGCTGGGAGCTGCGATCTGCGCCAAACCTCTTGCCCAGAGCTTGCAGCCCGTTGGTGGGGCCACAGTCGGCTCCCGAGGCAATGTCTGAAAAGGACATGTCTGCGCGGGTGGGAGGGATCGGATCTATGGGAGACGGGGTATCGATGGTGGTCATGATGTCGATCGCGCTCGTTCTTGGATCTTCTGCTGCTGCTGCGCGATCGATTCGTCATTCACGCAACGCTCATGCAGCTAGCTGCTGCGTATCTTTGCCCGCGCTCACGTCGCTCGCCGGCTCAGCAAAGGCCGGTTCGGCCGCACGGAGCAAATGCCAACACGCGCGCGCATGTCACGAGCGCAGGGGTGAGTCTCGAATCGCGTGCTCACATCTCACCACCACCAGCCCGCGTTCAAGCGCGCATTCAGACAGAAGACCATCAGAGCTCGAAGGGGGGATGGGAGTGCAAATAGCAGATCGCAATTCGATCGTGTAGATTGCGCGACGTACATGGCGACAGGTTTTGTGATGAAAGAGCATCGACGCGAGAGGTGAACATTCACGAATGGCGCGCAAGGCTACGCTCTGCCGCCCCTCTGCATTCGCACGCACCGCCCTCATCCGGTCGGCCTTTTGGGTGGGGCTCGACTCCATCCCCACGTCGGTCTGCGCTCTTCGTGAGCTTCGGAAGAATGCGTGGTGGTTGACGCGCTCGCCTCTTCTCCCGCTCGTCGCCACGCCAAACCCAGATCAGCTGCAGCCCAAGCTTGATCCAAGCTCGCTCCTCTGGAGCGATATTGGTCAATGACTCTAGATGAAGTCAGCTCCTCGCGGCTTCTCAGCTCCTCGACACGAGAGTCACCTCCGGCGACGCGAGAATCGCGCGAGACCGACCAACCGGACGCGACTACACTTTGAACCGGTGCGTTGGCGCCCAGCGGCTCGAGCAGCGAAGAAGCACGTGCCCTGTGGTTCGAATTCTGGCTGCTCGTCATTTGCGTCGCTGGACGAGACGCAGCTTGCTCACTGGGGCGAGCGTGATCAGCAGCCGCAGCCGCAGCGCGGGCGCCATGGCCGGGAGTTTTTGTGGAGTCGCCTTGCGGTACTTTCGTACCAAAGCTCAGCGCCGTATTGATGCTCATCCGAGAGTTGGATGGGCAATGCATCTGATCGCCTTCGTGCGCCACCTCGCTCGTTGCGATGGAGCGGGCAGAGCCCATCGTCGTGGTCGACATGTGGTTATTTGCGCCTGCAAGGTCGGTAATCGTCTCGTCAGACATGCCCGAGAGGATGCGTTCCGATACGGCCCCGTCGTCCTCGGTGGGTGGGTGGATGACTGGAGTGTACCATGCAGGCGTGTCTACGCTTGCAGTGCCTTGATCTTCTTCAGGGGGCTCCTGCAGCGAACTAAACTTGCGGGACTGCTCGTGATGCGAGACCGATGTCTGCGCGGGACGCGCGCTCGAAGCGGTCTTTGGGTGCCTTGCATCTGCGCTGACAGAGTATGACGAAGCTCCTCGCCCACCCATTGTCGTCTCGGGCGTTGCGCCTAAAGGGGGGTAGTAAGCGCGGGACTGTGCAGGAAGGATTTGGAGCTGGCCCTGCGAGCTGGTAGTGTGCAGGTTCGTCGAAGCGACGAGACTATCCGTGCTGGAGATGTCGTCTGCATTCATGGTGAGTGGTGCACGCGAGCTTTTTGACGGTCCCGTGGCGTGTTGTAGACCGAATTGACGAGCAGCTACATTTGCAGACGTCTTTCGAGTCAATCCATGGGACTGTCCATCCCAATGGCTCTCAAAGTCGGAGGTCTTGTCGCAAAGACTGGTCTTTGGCTCGCGTCGCACCAAGCCCCGCAGCCGATTCCGTCGAGAGCTGTCGCTTCGACGCGGTGGACTGTTCAAGGGCGACATGGGTCTAGGCATGTCGTAGTCGCCCGACCTAGTCACATCGGAATCTCGCGGTGCGCTGGCAGCGTTCTTGATCTCCTGCGTCACGTTGGGTAGCTCAGGGAGCACTCGGATGCGCGGATCTGCGTTGATGACGGTGCGCTGTCCTATGACGTACGTGGACACGAATGATAGGGGCACCAGTACATGGCTCACTGGATGCGAGCGTCGCGTGCGTCAGCTCGGGCTAGCATCTCGCAAGAGCGTCGGCGCACTCACAAATTGCATTCTTGTAGGCGATCTGCAACACCGCGGTAGCCAAGTTGGCGGAAAAATTGACGACGAAGGAGACGGTGATCATAAAGCTGCAAAGGGAGTGAGGACGAGACTCAGCTCCAATGCCACACGCCTACTCGTGGAGACGCTCACATAAAGTGGCCGCGATAGTCGGGCAAGCCAGAGTCTTTTGGTGCTGGCAAGATGGACTTTGCCACTCCCCAGTAAGCAAGAACGGCAGCCACGACGTCTAGTGCAGCAGCGGCAAGGAAGCCCCTTGCGCGAGCGACGACGTTGACTGTCAGATTTGCGCATCTTAGACCGTACGGGTCTAGCTCCAGGTCGCTTCGTGGCACTAGCAGCGCGCCAAAGTAGGGAACGCTCGACGCATATATGGCGACCGTAGTGAGCGCTATGATGCCGTATGGCACTGCTACTCTCAGTTGGCCCTGGTGCAGCGCGATGATGCGGATGCCTAGAATCACGCACATGGCTGCCTGCTCCGCACCAGACAGGGATTAGCCTCAGCACGGGGCGAATCTCGCGCAAAGGCTCACGCAAACGCTCACGTAATTGAGGGTGCAGCAGGTCATGATGGTCGTCAACAAGGCTTGGCAGCCCATGTCGCTGTCTACGGGCGCAAAAACGAACGCTATCGCTACAGCGCAGACGACGATGACGGTGTAGCGGGAAGCCCTGCGCAGAGGTCGACGTGAGGCTGTCAGCGCGCGCGTTGGCAAGCTCGCTTGCCACCACGCACATGAAAGCCCAGTTTATAAAGCGCTGCGGAAATGTGGGGGGTCAGCATGCCGCAACGCAGACTTTTGCGCTGCCTACTCACAAATTGACCTCTTTTGATCTGCTTCCACCTCTCAAACTCCTCTCCAAGAGTAATGACGTGCTCCCAAAAAGCCATGCTGACAAAGGAAACCAGCAAGATGCGAAAGATTTCGGACTGCACTCGAGATGAAGAGGGTTATTTGGGTCCAAACAAACAGCGACGTTGGACATGCAACGCACCTGGTGCAACCGATCCATCGGGTTTGCCGAAACGTACTGACCATCGAAGAGCCAGATCTTGTCCCCTTGAAGGACGCCTGCAGGTCGCTTGAGCATGACGGGCAAAGCAGGATGTTGACGAGGGTGCGCTCGTGAGCGCGTCGCTGGGGGTAGATGAGTGTGGGGGGGCGGGCGCGAGGATCCTAGACCGGATGGTAGAGATGCAAGCGCGATGACCCGCATTGCGAGCGATCGATTGCCACGCAGCACATATATAAGTGAGTGGCTACATTTCATGGAGCAAGAGGTGCTCCCTGACCCGGGGTACGGAACGCCCGAACACTCACAACTATAGCACGCTCGACCTCAACGATCACTTCTCGACGCTCGCGGTGAGACAGCCGTCGAGTCAGGGCTGCGCGGCAGGGCCGCAGACGATGCCTTCCACGATGGAGCAAACGATCCACTCATCGCAGGCGAGCGGCTCCTTTACAATTCGCCAGCGCGGAAAAGCAACGACTATAGCGCCATGCAGTAGCTGTCATCGACGGCAACAGTCGCGTGAGTCGCTTCACCACACGCTCCGAGTGCATGGGCGCTCAAATGATCGAGCGGCTTTAGCAGCAATCGCGTACGTGAAGAGGCAATTTGTGGCTCGAGGCAGACCGCGTTCCTCGGCTCATTCAACGTGATTTCTTCGGCCTCACCCAGCATCACGCCTGATTTCTGCGTGCTACTCATGACTCGGTCGTGAGTGGCGCGGCTACGAGCAGTTGCGGATCATGATGAGGGAGAAACGCAGCTGGCTAGCGGTGACTGCTGTGCGGTGTACTGATCGCGACTCACCCGACCCATCACAACTGTGGCGCACGACGTCGACGCATCACGGTTGCGCGCGGTGCCAACCTATCGAGACTGCATCGCGCGCCGTCGATCAACTCTCTCGGTATACCGCGGTCAAGCAATCAAATGTGCAAAAGGAAAGATTCGTTTGCTACGCCATATGAATGATCGGGTCCGTGCAAGCCACGCACTGGAAGCGACTCGAGTCAGCGCACACCAGCACCTCATTGTGCTCGGAAAGGCTGGAATAGCAGCCTCGCTCATCTCTCTCGCGCGCGCGTCGTCTGCCGCACCGCACTGTCCATGCTCGTCTCGGAGGCGCCATCAGTAAGCGAAATCCATTCGTGGTTATAGACGCGACGACACAGCTAGACATACGTGGACTCGCTCGCGACCGCGGCGTCGCGCACATGCGCAACTGGACGCTCTGATGATGCCTTGGCTATCGCACTGCGACGCCAGGACAGCGGCCCCTGACGGCAAAAAAGGTGACTTCAATCATTGCCACAGCGGCTCATCTCATTCGTCGCACGCGTGAATAGCGCCCAAAAGAGCCCAATTCGACAGCTTGATTGCACCAGCCCCTCGATCGAGTTAGAGTCAAAAAGTCCCGCTTAAAGTACGCCTTTGGGCGAGCTTGAGATCACGACTCGCTCGCGAATCCCTCGGCTCGCGCTCGCGCACGAAACATCAACGCTGAAGCGCACCCCGGTCCGCAAAGTCCAGCTATCGAGATCCAAGTGATGTGCGATTGATACCTTACCCCGGAACACCGTCAGGCACCTCCGTGCACGGCACGCCGGCACGGAGCGAAAAAAAGAGGTACGAATTGCGATCCCCGACTCGCACGTCTTGGTGTAATCTATGTACAAGATTCGAACGCTGTCGACTGCAAGGGGTCGCGCACAACTGCATCTATCTCACGTCGCCACAGCTGAATGCTTGAAACAAGGTACCGTCAGAACACCGTCGGTGACAAGCCCATCAAGACTGCGCAGGCATAGGACTTTCCACCGTCTTCATGAGGTAGAATCGACCTGCAGCGGTGATGGCATCTTCGACTGCCAGACCGCCATCCTCGCCCACACCCTGCGCGCCATCTACTTTGCCACCAGCGCGGCCACCGATGCTCTTGGACACCAACTCCGCCCATTCGCGAGCATCCAGGCCCTTTTCGACATCTTGCTTGGGCACAAAGTTGACGTGCGTCACTTTCGCCTTGGTAGAGGCAGCGTCCGCCTTGTTGACGGGCGCAGCCTCGGGAGCTGGATCCTGAGTGAACAGGTAGATTGCCTTGTTCAGCTTCTTGGCGATTGCCACACCTTGTTGCAGAGCTTTCGAGTTGGAGCCAACGTTGAATGAGCGAATCAAGTACGTGGCGTCCTTGTTGGCATCGAAAAATTCCTGAACGCCTGCTTGCACCTCCTTGGTCTCGGCAAGTTGTCTCTTCTTATTCTCTGCATCGAGCGCCTTGCGGAGAGCAGAAGACTTTTCGACCAGCTTGGCTTTGCGAAGCACTCCGAGCTCTGTGGGGCCTAGCTCGGTGGTGAACACCTTGAGACCAGCCTCTTGTTTCGAGCGGTCCTTCTCAGCCTCGAGCGCAGCTAGTTCCGCATCGCGCTGATCTGCCAGACGCTCGACTACAGCCGCCTCTTCGCCCGTCAACGCCACCACTCGTCTGATGCCCTTGGCAATACCGCTTTCCTCTATCACCACCAAGCGCCTGATTTCTCCCGTTTTTGCCACGTGTGTGCCGCCGCAGAATTCCACACTGGTGCTGCGCCATTTGGCATTCTCCACGTCCTTGACAATGTCTTCCACGTCGAACTCGAGCGTGACGACGCGGACAGGATCAGGGTACGCTTCGCCGAACACTGCGCGCAGCCCGGGAATCTTGTGAGCGTGCTCAAGTTGGACTTCCTTGGCGTACACGGCCACATTGCGCTTGACCCAGTCGTTGCAAATGTCTTCAATGCGCGACAGCTCCGCGAGCGGAATCCCAGACTTGTGGCTAAAGTCGAAGCGCAACTTCGTGGGAGCGACCAACGATCCTCGCTGATCAATGTGGTCGCCCAGCACTTCGCGCAAGGCAAAATTGAGAATATGCGTGCCAGTGTGGTTGTTGCGGATCGGTGCACGTCGATGCTGTGAGGCAGAAAGACAAGCTTTAGCATCCTGCCGTTGACGCTGCCGAGGAGGCGAAGCTGCTGGTCGCATCGCTGCCGCACTCACCTCATCGTAGGCTGCTACTACATCGTCTCCCACCCTGAGCTCACCGTACTTGAAGTAGCCCGAGTGCAAGACGTATCCATTAAAGACTTGCGTGTCCTCCACAACGAATTCCGACTTGCCATCGATGACGATGCTTCCCGTGTCTCCTTGCTGTCCACCAGACTCGGCGTAAAAGCAGGTTCGGTCAAGCAGCAAGCCCAGCGGCTTGTCCGCAAGCACGTTGGGGGCGTTGGAGGCTGCATGGAATCCGCCATTCTGGTATATCGCCTTGACCTTGGCTTCGATGGACGCTTGCGCTGAAAAATTGACAGCCTCTCTTGATGAGCGTGACAGCCAAAAGCGAAGCCCATCAAAGCACTCCTCCACTCACAATATTTGTGCTCGTCGTCGGTTCTGGGGACGTCGGCATTTTGCTCGAGGGCACCAAGATCGTGCACGTCGAGCTTTGGCATATCGGTACCAGCGGCCTTGCCGAGGCCCTTTGACGCCTCCTTGCTCGCAGCCTGCGCCTCCTCAAATTCCGCCTCGCTAAAGGTGAGACCAGCCTCTTCTGCCATGATCTGAGTCAGATCCACTGGAAATCCAAAGGTGTCGTACAGCCTCCACACATCTGCGCCCGAGAGCTTGTTGGTGTTGGCCTGTTTTGCGCGTTGCGCGTATTGCTCAAACAGCTTCTCTCCTCTATCGAGTGTCCTCGCAAAGGAGACCTCTTCCTCATCGAGCAGCGCCTTGATGTCATCTGATCGCTTGGTAATCTCTGGGAAAAAGTCTCCCATTTGAGCAGTGAGCGTTGGCATGAGATCAGAGAAAAAGTGACCGATGGGCACTTGAAAGTATTTCCGAACGTAGCGCGTTCCTCGACGCAGGATACGCCTCAAGACGTAACCCCTTCCATCCTTGTCCGGCACTCCGCCGTCGCTCATGGCGAATGTGAGCGTGCGCACGTGATCAGCGACAACGCGGTACGCAGTGTCGATTCCGTCCGCATCCTCTGCCCCGAGCTTGCCGGCGTAAGGGCGAGCGCCAGTGAGCTGTCTGATGCGCTCAAAGAGGGGCAGAAAGCAGTCGGTGTCGTAGTTTGAGCGCTTATCCTGCAGCACAGAGACCAGGCGTTCGAAGCCCATGCCAGTGTCGATGTGTCGCGCAGGCAGCGGTCTGAGGGATCCGTCTGCTTCGCGATTGTACTGCATAAAGACGTTGTTCCAAATCTCGAGCACATCCGGATCATCTTGGTTGACGAGATGAGCGGCATTGCGTCCACCGATGCGATCGTAGTGGATCTCGCTGCAAGGTCCGCACGGGCCGGTCGCACCCATCTCTGAAGAGGCGTGTGGCATACTTAGGCACGGCTGACGAGCGCTGTCGGCAGTCTCACTCACCCCAAAAGTTGTCCTTGGCATTGCCAGTGAGGATGTGGTCGTCCTTGACGCCCATCTTCTTCCACAGATCTCTCGCCTCGTTGTCCGGCTCTAAACCTTGCTTTGCGTCGCCTTCAAAATAGGTCACGTACAAACGATCTGCAGGCAAACCATAGACGCGCGTCAGGAGGTCCCAAGCGTACTCGATCGCTTCGCTTTTGAAGTAATCCCCGAATGACCAATTGCCCAGCATCTCGAAAAAGGTGTGGTGATAAGTGTCGCGACCGACGTCGTCCAAGTCGTTGTGCTTTCCGCCGGCACGAATGCATTTTTGAGAGTTGACTGCACGCTTCAAGGCTCCCAGAGAGGATTCGGGAGAGGCGAGTCCTAGAAAGAGCGGCTTGAACTGACGCAAGATTCGAAGAAAGCAGGCGTCAGCAGTCCGCGCCTACGAGCAAAGCGCGATGCGACGACTAACCTGGTTCATGCCAGCATTGGCAAAGAGCAACGTCGGGTCCTCGTAAGGGATGCAGCTGCTACTCGGCGCAAAGGCGTGGCCTCTCTCTTTGAAGAATTCCAGAAATGTCTGGCGCACCTTGACCGCTGGCCAATGACCAAACTGCGAAGGTTTGACTTCCACTAATGGGAGGGCAGCATTGTTGCTGGTTGCACCTTGGCCGGGTGCTGCGGACATCTTTGAGCGATGGGAGAATGTAGGCAGCAGGGGAACTTTGTGATGTCGTGACAGCTGCGGGGTCGTGACAGCACCAGGTCTGGAGACTGTTGAGAAGACAGAGGCGAGACGGTGCAAAGAGCGTGACTGCCTGCCCAGCATTCAGCAATTTGCGTGCGGATGAGAAATGGCTAGGCGCATGCACGAGCGTGTCGGGTTGATGGAGGTGGTTCGGCACGCCTTTCTGTTGTGTGTCGGACGCTATGACTCGCGACTCTTCTGACTTGGAAGCGCTTGCTGCGAAGAGCAGCGAAATAAAAAACGTCACGTGCGCGCAGGAAGAAGAAGCGCGTGACGTCGCGCGGCACTCCACATGAAATCTCATCAGCAGCAGCAGGGATGGACACCGCGCTGCCGAGTCCTCTCGAACCATCCCATCACGCTGCGATCGCCAACTTTGGACTCGAGGAAACATCACCATCGCGCGCTTTCAGACAGGCACGCTGCGCAGGTCATGTCTTCAAGCTTTGCAAAGTCCAAACTAAAAGCGAGTAGGGATGCCATCCAAGCCAAACGATGGAGCGAAGCGCTAGAATCGGCGTGAGTGGGCCCCTCTGGTCGATTTCCCTGATGGTGCACAGTGCTTAGCGTTGAAGTGCATCTTGGCAGCGACGCGGTGTTGGAGCACGAGGTCGACAATTACAATGCGTGAGCTTTGGCAGAAGAGGCGATCTGGCCGGGTCGTGCTCTCGACTAATTACCGCCCTGCACCTGCTCCAGTCTGGTCTTCAAGGGCCTCGCTCTTCTGAATCTGGAACGATACGATGAATCGGAGCATGCGTATCGGGCTGCTGCTCGAGCCCAGCCAGACTCCCCTTTGGCCTGGCAAGGTCTGGAAAAGTTCTTTCAGCAGCGCAAGAATGCTGCAGGCATACAGGAATGTCTCGAAGAGGAGATGCGCGTATTCAGCCAAGCGTGAGTCCACACATCCGGCAAAGAGCTGCACCATGCTTACGTGCCAGGCTCGTCGAATCTGAGCAGAGGAGATGCAGGCAAGCTGGCAGAGGCGATCCAGCGACTAGTAGCACTCCAAAGGGAGGAAGGATCCTCGGCCCAAGTGGCTGCAGCGCTCGAGCTCTATCTCGAGACATCGCCTCATCACGCGCTCTTGGCCACGCTTCCCCAGCCCGATCAGAGCAGCCCTACAGCAACGAGCACGTACGAGGCGCAGCTGGCCATGCACCAAAAGTCTTTGGACGTGCTGTTAGAGGTGATCAGCTTGACGGAAGCGGTTGAAGAAGCTGCAGTGGGCAGGGAAGTTGAAAAGAGAAGGACAAGGCTGGACTCTGCTGGAAAGACTAGAGCGGCGCTGCGAGATGAGGTCGGAGCGGAGGTGTGGGCAAACAGCAAGGTTAGCAGGGAGCAGTCCTGCGCAAAGCATGCAGTCTGCTCAAAGTGACTCTCCGTCTGCCGCAGCTGCCCGCCTTCTTTGAGCTGGTCCTTGCGCACGCCTCTGCGCCCGATGAAATCCGTCGCCAAGCAGAGCTAAAGCTGCTACAACATCGTTACAAATTGCTGCTCAGCTTGCCTAATCCCCGTAGCAGGCCTGACGCACCTACGGGTACCGCAGCAACGGATGGCAAGGCCAAGGCGCTCGATGCGCAAAAGTCGGAGCGAAAAGACGAAGCTCGAGAGCAGGTGCTGCAACTTGCGCATGGCATGGTCGCTATTGGTGTGGCGGAGGAGCTCGCGTGGGAGATCGACTTGGAGTGGGCCGATTATGCCAGACTCGGTGGGTTTGTGCCGTGGTAGGGGCACTCGCATCGCTCGTCTGACGCTCTACACACCTCCTTAGAAGACTTGCCGCGCGACCATCTCCGAGCATTCATCGAAAAATTCCCCAGAGCAAGCCGAACACTTGCGTTTCGCGGCTTATTGACGGCACTGCAGGACGAGCAGTACCTCGAAGATGAAGCGGACATTGCGAAACGCAACGATGTCGAGCAAGCTACACCTGATCTGCTAGCTCTTGCAATCGTAAGTCGCCTGGCGTGGGCTGTCTTCAGGGTGCCTCTAAACTTGCTCCTCCCCGCTCAGCATGCTCTCGAGGACGCACCCCAATCCATCCTTGTGCACCGCATTGCTTCGACAATGTACTTGCTTGATCGCGACTATCTCTCCGCCTCGGACGTCTGCTCTGCCGGTCTGGCCTTGGTCAGCAAGCTAGAAGCTGCTGCTGCGCTCGACCTGTCGAGCATACGGCGCTCTTTGGAATCGACGCTCGCGGCTGCTCTGTCGCGTCTTCACCCTCCTCAACATCATGCGCGAGCGCTGCGTCTCTTGGACGGGGTGCTTGCTGGAGATGCAGAAAACGCAGACGCGATGATAGCCAAGGCATTCATCGACGAGACCGCTTTACGATGGGATGACGCCAAGGAGCTTTATGGTCAGGTGGAAGCAATAGCTCGCAAAGCGCCCGAGGTATCACCCCTGTCCTTCTCCTCTCATCCAGGCATCGAAGCCAAAGGCGGGATGGCTTGGTGCGATGTCCGTGCTGGTCGCTTCAACGATGGCAGACAGGCCTTGGATGGACTGCTGAACACCATAGACGGGGACGACGGCTCTCTACAACTCTCGTCGGAAGAAAGGGCACAGGCTTGGTGGCGGCTAGGGTACTGTCTGTGGCAGATGGGCGGTGAGTGGCTGTTTCGCTGCAAGACATGTGTCGACCGATCAAGTCTAATGTGCCGCCCACCTCGCAGGCGAGCAAAAGACGGACCCAGAGAACGCCTTTACATGCTTCGTCACTGCTCTCAAGCGTTCGCCCGGATACGCTCCGGCCTTTACTTCGCTTGGCTTCTACTATGAAGAGGTCGCGAGTGATGCTGGTCGCGCTGCCAAATGCTTTCAAAAAGCCTTTGAGCTCGACGCTCGTGAAGACGTTGCAGCCAGGCAGCTGGCAGTCGGCTTTGCCAATGACAGAGAGTGGGACCTGGTCGATGTGGTGGCACGTCGCGTGGTCGAAGGGGAAGGCGGCAGCGATGCGTTGGGTGGAGCAATGGCTTCCCTCAGGAAGCACATTAGTCGCAATGCCTGGGCATGGAAAGCTGTAGGCTCCGTCGAGCTTCAACGGAGACACTTTGACAAGGCCATCGAGGCTTTGCATGTTGCACTCCGTACCCAACCAGCCGATGCCTCAGCTTGGCAACGACTTGGAGAAGCCTACGCAGGCTCTGAGCGATACTCTGCTGCTCTCAAGGCATTTCACAAGGCGCAAGAGTTATCACCAGACGAGTGGGCGGTGCGCTATAGTATCGCAGAGGTTCACCGTGACGTGGGAGAAATGTACGAGGCATTGGCCATCTTCAACGACATTTCAAAGCATCACCCGGAAGAAATTGGCGTAACAATAGCTGCAGCCGAGACCAGCCTGCTTTTGGCCAAACAACAGATGGCTGGTGGATACGTGCTTCGAGCTCAGCAGTCATTGCAGGATGCTTTAGCGCACTGCCTCATCGCTTTGTCTGACGAGCCACGTCTGCGATCGGGCTGGAGCATCGCAGCGGATTCCGTATTGGAGCTCTCCAGGGTGGCAAGCGATGGCCGCATACGAGAGTCGCAAGTTTCGCAGCTCCTGTCCTTGCTAGAGATCTGCAACGACGAGCCGGTCGACGCGGGCCTGCCCAGCGTCTCAGTGTGCCAACGTCATGAAGTCAGGAGCGGGAGCGCGAACCCGCAATTTTGTGCAAAAGCAAGCGTCTTCTTGCACAAGCTCAGAGTGGTGTCCGCTGCGCCAGATGAGCAAGCCGACGCGTGGTCGAGCCTGGCTGTCGCTCTTCAACACCTAGATCTTAGAGCGCACGTCGATGGAGCTAATGAGCAGGCTACGGCGTGCATCAAACAAGCCTTGAGACTGCAGCCAGAATCAAGTCGCTTCTGGATGATACTCGGGAACCTCTCGTTCTTGTCCGACGTGACGGTAGCCCAGCATAGCTTCCTCCGGGCAATCGAGGCAGCACCACAGGTACGCAAAGACCATGCCTTGCCCTCCTTCAGTACGTGATTACTCACCTGCCCCTCTTCCTTGTCTCGGTCAGGATGCGCTGCCTTGGTGCTACTTGGGGCTCCTCTACCTCCAGCACGATGATGTAGAGCTCGCCAACCAGGCTCTGATAAAAGCACAGACTCTGGACCCGGATCTCCCTCAAGCATGGGCAGGTCAAGCATACATTGCGCTCAGGCACGGTGATGAGGCAGCCTCCCGAGTCTTGTTCGCCCACGCCGTAAACCTTTCGGAGTCATCATGCGTGAGCAAGGCACGAGACTCAAAGTCCTAGTAGCGCTTAAACTCACAAACGTCTCGCATTCGGAGCAGCTCGAGGCGGACTACGGATTCGCGTCTGGGGTGTACAAGCTGCTTTGCTCTGCCACTCCTCCACCAAAGACGCAGCTGCATGCTCCCGCCTTTTCCCTCTCGGTTCTTCTTGCCTTTAGCCCACACGATAGCACCGCCCTGCACCTGTCTGCGCTCTTTTGCGAACAACTTGGCGAATTTGAGTTGGCGATCGAGCGCATCACTAGGGCGGCTTCTCTTCTGGAGAGCGATTACGAGGCAGACGAGAAGCCTCTCACAGCTACAAAGTACGCCATAGCCCAAGCCAACCTTGGACGCATTCGATTGGCAATCGGAGATGCTGACGGCGCTGTGGATGCTCTCGAAGCAGCCTTGGGCTTGTTCGATGTGGGAGCAGACGACGCCGCTTCAGGTGAGATGATGGACGGCAAGAAGCGGATAGCGGTCCGCGTTGCGGCGCATCTTGGATTGGCGCTGGCTCATCATCTCTTGGAAGACGATGAGGTGGAAGCGGCTCTTCAAAGTGCTCTCGAGGAGATAAGCAGCCTCGACGATGAGGATTTCAAGTCAAGATTACGCGCGCAAATCTCTATAGAAAGAGTTCGCTTGCTGCCTGCGCGCAGCGAAAGCTACGAAAGCGCCACCGCCGAGCTTCTTGACTGGTGAGTAGGCGGTCGTTTGGCTGCAAAGAAATCGCTGCTCCTTGGTCACTCGAAGCTTACACCTCTTGGACCTCCCCGCAGCGTCACTTCCATGCCCAACGATTTGAACGTGCTGAGCACGCTCGCCGCGATTGGTGTGGCAGATGAAGATCATGGACTCATCGATGCTGCGACGAGCGAGATTGCCTCCATGGACTCCTCGACGAGAAGCGAAGACATTGATCTGCTGCTCGCCCTCATTGACTTTGGTCACGGACAGGTGAGTGGGCGTGGCGTCTGCCTGCACGCGCGTGCCTTACGTTCCACTGCTCGATCCTTGCAGGAGAGAACAGACACTGCATTGTCGCGATTGCGCAACGTAGCGGATCAGACGCCATCTTCGGTTGAAGCGCACCTCACGTACGCAGAAGCTCTGCTGCGAGCTGCGACGTCGACAAACTCGAAACGTCGCGCCGAAGAGGCTTACGCTGCAGCTCAAAAGGCATTTGGGGTCGTCAACTCGACCGAGGGTGGTGAAGAAAACTATGCGCGATCAATGCGCCTTTTGGCTCTCGCTGCTTCATTCAGCAACGCTGATGCACCCGTTGTCAACCCTGCCGAAGAAGCAGGGACCGCTTCCGAGTCGCAGCCACAAGCAGCGGCGCCTCCTGACCTTGGTCAACGCGCTCTTCATGCGGCGCCTTGGGATTGCAAAAATTGGCGCACTGCAGCGTTTGTCAGGGCGAAGGAGTCGAAGGAATAGCTGACCCGTGCCAAGTCTAATTTATCGACTGGATGCATTGCCCATACGCCGATCAATTTGTAAGCTTGCTCGTGCTCGACGCATCGTATGTAATTGGCATTTTGTGGCGTTGCGCACAGTCTCGCATACAAGTGTTTGACAAAGAGCACACCTCGTCTGGTTTAGACGCTCGCCTAGACTGACGAGCAAGGACGCTCATCGCTGCATCGACTCGATGTCCGAGCTGTCCTCGCGAGAACCCATTTGAGCTTCAGCGCGTTCCACGACCATGTCCTGCAACCAGCCAGGCGACTGTGTCTGAGCGTGCCACGTAACATCGAAATCCTCCCTCTTGTTCGTCTGCTCGGGAATCTTTTCGCCAAAAGCGCTCGCAGCTTTCACTCGACTTGAGTTGCGCCTGGCTGGAATGGAAGCTGCTGCGCGGGCCCTCGCTTGTGCTGTGCGACCTGGGACGTATCGTGCGCTTGGAGTATCTGGACTACCTGCTTCCAAAGCGGATGTTGCCATCTCTTCCGACGGTGCAGATGCTTCCACCTCCGATTGGAGCCCATTTTGCGTCTGATTCTCACCAGATGATGCGATGGTGTCGCCGCTCGATTGAACTTCGACTGCTTTGCTCGGCCCGTCATCCAATTGTTCGTCCTTCTTGGCATCCACCTGCATTTGATTATCCTCCGTCTCTTGTACCGCCGATGACACGGCTTCCGATGTTTTGTCAGTAGATGGAGCTGACGTTGTAGAAGTAGGCGGCATCAGGGATGCGAGGTCGATTTGCATTTCGCCGCCATCATCATCGTCATCTGCCCCGGCTTCGGCCATCGCAGCTTCCATGAGCGCTTGAGCCTGTTCGAGCGTCAAGGCCGCCGGCACAAAAGCAGGGGCCACTTCTACGTCCACATCCGAATTGCCATCTTCATCAAGAGCTTCAACAGCAGCTTGGGTCAACTTCGAGCCCGATGCACGCGAAGCGAACGATCGACGTGTTCCCTTCGTGCGTGACACTTCATCCGCATCGCCTTCATGCCCACGCTTGTCGGGACCCAGAATCAGCTTGACTCTTCTCGGTCGCTTGTTGGCAGCTTCGAGCTCCGACAAAGACGGACCTGTGCGATTTGCTTGTTGGCGCTGTTGGTAAGCCAACAAGGAATGAGGTGGCTCGATGAAACGTCCACTAGCGCCCCTGATACCCCTGTTCGAGCCAGACGCCTTTCGCTCCTCTGACGTCGATGTGCTCGGAACTTCTCGTCGCGCGGTGCGCGGACTGCGCTTTGGAGGCTCGGGTGATGCCGTCGACGCGCTCTTCGCCGAGCGTACAAGTTGCTTTGACGCAGCAGCAACTTTTTTCGGTGTGGAAGCCAAAGGTGCAGCCTTGCCCGCACCGGTGAGGGCGCTCTTTGGAGCGAATCGACCACCAGATGTGCGCGCGTGAATGTTAAAGTGATTCTTGACCGCATATACTGCGGGTTTCTTGAGACTTGGAAGACTGGCTCGATTCTGACGCACAGCCGAGACGGACCTTGCAAGAGCTTGCGATGTGCGCGCTCTTGATGCAGCTGTGCTCGTCTCTGGCGCGCTTTTGCGACGGGAGAGACTGATCGTTGGCCTTGTTGCAGCGCTCGCTGCAGACGGCAACCGTTTCAGCGTCGACTTGATGACTCGAGCTGAAGATGTCGCAGTCGAGCTGCTCGCTACATCGGTAGGGGGAAGAGGTGGCAAGCCAGCAGCTTCGCGTGCTGCAGCTTCACGCCTCTCCCTCGCCTTTCTCTGTCGAGCAGCTGTGGCAGCAGCAGTCCTGGCCTTGTTCTTGGCGTACTGAACGGCTGCAGCAGTGGCCGCTGCCGAGCGTGAGTCGGTGCTCTCGTCGTCCTCGGCCGCGCTGGCCGAAGCTTCTTCGGTAGCCGGTCGTTTGTTGCTGCGCTTCTCCATGGGTGTTGCGGTAGGTGCAATTGGCGGAGTCGCTCTGGCAGCGGTGGTTACGAGCTCCGGCAGCAGTGCATCGTATCGCGCAAGAGTCTCCAATGCTTCGCCTAGAAGCTCAGCACGAAGGTGCTCGAGCTTGGAGGAAGTATCGGCTGCAGAGGATGACCCCTCAGAAAGCCCGACATTCGCAGACGTCTTGACGGTTGATCCTTCCCCTGGAGGTGTTGGAGCGCGCGATTCGGTGTGCCTTTCCCTAGCATGGAGGATCGGCATGAGAAGTCTGGCATCGGCCGATTTGAGCTGATCGATGCGCTCCTTGAGTTTCTGACGGTCGCGTATCAGCGCCTCTTTTTCCAGACGCCTTTGGCGCTTCTCCAACTTGTCTCCTCGACGATGCCGACGCTCGTAAGCCGCATCCGACATGTCTTCCTGTCGAGCGGAGATCGCAAAAGCGCAATTCGATCGTCAGGCTCCCCGTTGCTCTTCCCGGCGCCTCGCATGGCCGCGCACTCACCTCGCTTCTCAAGGCTCTCGTCTTTCCCAGCATAGCACCTTCGTCCCACGGTTTGAACTCTGGCGTCTCGATCAATTCCCTCGCTCGGCAGCTTCGAGCCACATTGGGATCCGAAAAGAAGCTAAAATCCTCTCCACTTGCGTTCAAGAAGCGATGCTCGTAGGCCGACGAGACGGAGCTGCTGCTCAAAATGATCGGCAGGTTGGGCAACAAGAAGCCTTGATCTGTGCAAAGTGCAAGGGCGCTGGGTGTGTGAATCCCTGCACCAAGCGCTGCTCCTGCTCACATGGAAGGCGTGCCCTCTGACGACGATCCCTCCTTCGATGAATTCAGGCGCTCACTCACCGAGCTTTGTAGGAGTTCCAATTCCAAGCTCGTCTTCCTTGCTGCCACCTGCCAAGATGCTAGAGACCCGAAGCAGACGAGCCGGCAACACCCTCCTCGACCGTCGAGCTTCCGAGCCCATCGTCTCTTCCGCTTGCGGAGTACCGCGCCTACCACCACTTCTCGCATTGGCTGGCGACGGAGCAGCGCTGCTTGAGTGCGTGACTTGAGAGATGGAAGCGTCGTCCAAGTCCATCGTCGTGCCACCTAGACTTGAGGTGGAGTTGGAAGCTGAGAGGGTGACGGTCTGTCCTGCCGCTGCATCGCGTCCCGCTTCGGTCACCTTGGAGTGAGAGCTGTGCGCCGCGGGCATTGAAGCGGAGACGCCGTCAAGAGGTACGAGCGGCGAAGGTCTCCTTTCCAAGATGTCTGCTGTGCCGAGCTTCTGGATGGAGGATGCTGCTAGAGGAGATGATTTGCGCTGCTGCATGATGACCGGAGTTGCTAGGTTGCTCTGCGGCACCGTCGAGGCGTGCTGATGATGGTGTGAAGTGATAGAAGTATTACCGTTGGTCAAATCAGTGTCACCGTCGATTGGTCCCACGGCTGGCAATTGATTTGTAGCGGCGGATGCAAGTGTGGTGCTGGACGCGGCGGGTGATGCGCCGTTGCTCGAGCTCATCATGAGTTCACCGCGACGACCCCAAACGCTGCTGGACTTTTTGCTGTCGAGCAAGAGCAGTGGTGATGGACGGGAAGCTGAAGGAAGTCGAATGATCGAATGCAATTTGACCGTGACCGTGGCCGTGGGAATGTGCGAGATGTGCGAGTGCAATGATAGCACTGTACCGCGTAGGCAAAGATTCCGGGCGAAGACACGGGGGCGCGGTCAAAATCGCGACTCAGCGTACCTGTCAGCGTGGCAGTGTGAGAGCGGTGCTCAGAGTGACACACCTGTGTCGGAGTGAATGTGCAACAAGAAAGTGTTGTCATCAGACGAGGCTTCTTGAATACGCTTGACGCTCAAGAATCACGAATGCTGATCGGATTGGTCTGACAGGGCAAAGCGTGCACGAGACGGCGCTCTGCGGAAGTGAAGCTGTTCGCGCCTGCTGAACGTCTGCTCGTCTGTCTCATCTGCGCGTCGCTTGCAAAATCACGAGTTCGCATTTACGTTCAATTTAAGATGCGCCGATGCGCGTGTGCTCACAGACGCAGCTAGCTTGCCATACTGTAGCCCTTTCATCAACAATCACAAATCACGAATGTGAATGGTGAATGGAGCTTTGATTCCGAAGATGCACAGCCCCAGCACACATCCGTGACTCGGCATCACATACCAGGCAGCGTCGACGTACGGCACCATCCATCCTCTCACCTCGACGCAGCTCGACGAATCAGAAAGGATGGGCAAACATGCATGCTGGTCATGAGCCGACGAGAACGCAAGCCATGCAAGAGACTGCAAGCCCATCCGGTGGCTTCGTGGCGAACCTGCCTCCCACAGAGGGTTGGCAACAAGAGGGTTATCACACTGATTCACCGGGTCCGGACCGCTCCATTACACTCGAGCCTCAGACGTCCCGTGCCAGCCGAAAGGTCGCCAGCCCACTCGCATGCGACGCCGCAGACATCCTTGAACACCTTTGGAAGTGTTTTGCATCCCCTCTAAGCATGCTCAGGCAGCACACCGTCTTGCTCAAATTTTCGTGCGCATAAAAATGAACATACAAGCATACATGCGCCTCAAATGTCCACGTTTGGTTCCCAACTGACTCCACACCCGCATCCAGCGCCTTTTGCTTGAGGATTGTCTCGAATGACAAACTGAGATCCGATCAATTCCGTTGCGTAGTCGATGGTCGATCCTTTGAGCAACCTTAAGCTCACCGAGTCGATCAGCAAAGAGGCTCGAGGGTATGTGATGGATGTGAAGCAGCTGAGGGGAGCCCACGAATGCGAGTCATGAGCATCGTCCGCCCTACACCCGTCTGAATGGGGTTCCTTGACCACTCACAAGTCATCCTCTTCTGCGCCCTCGTCGACCACGTTCATGGCATACTGATAGCCATGACAGCCACCAGGCATGACCTCGACCCGAAGAGCGATTCCGTCTTTGCCTTCTCTTTCTGCTACCGCATCCAGCCTCGCAGCTCCAGTCTCTGTCAAGAGTACCTTTGGATCGCCACCCTCCAAGACCTTTGGCTCTTCGGGGCTTGACGGCCGTCTCGTTATCCGCGTCAGGTCGGGCGGGGCGTGAGATTCATTTGGCACTGCTGGAGCTGGAGATGGCACGGACCGCTGCTCGGAGGTGACGTTTTGTCTAATTGAGCGAGCGTGGAAGAGTAGACGGGCCGATTGGCTTGGTGATGGCTCGCCCCTCTGTCGTCCACCTGGTCGCAGCACGGTATGCGGTAATGTGAGTATTGGCAAAGCTCTACTCAAGGAGCTCGAGAGCGCCTGTTGCGAGATTCGCAGCACCACGCGTGAGCTGCTAGCAAGAGCCATGTCTGCAGTCGCTCAACTCCACGCCACCCCTGTCAGCCAAAATTTGGCTCTTATTATAGTGGTGCTACTGTCTGTGGCGTGAGCGTGCGTTCAGTCGCAGTGATTGAGCGCACCTCTCCCGGCGATGACGAATGGCGTGGCGAGATGGTTTCGTTGGTAAGTCAGAGCTGAGGAGCGTAGTGAGCTAGTCTCTTGTGTAAGAGTACGATACGGTATGCGGGTAGTAGAGAGGTGAGAAGTCGGGGAGGCGTTGTCGAGGTCGAGTCGAGACAACACACCGACAAATCACAAATAACGTGCGGCCCGGGGTCGGACATAACCGATAGGGCGCCGGTCACGTGCGTCAGCAGAGAGCGGCATGATGACCCTTGACTGCCGGGCTTGAATTCAAGATTGCAGCACCTCCACGCGCGACTGATGCCGACTTGCGCGCTGAAATGGGCTGCATGCACGCTGACTGCGATGGATGATGAGCACATCCCCTCACTCGCGGGTGGTGCGCGCCTTACTCGTGACTGAGGGCATGCACGCTGCGATCCCGAATCCGATCTTGACCAAACGCGTCGAACAGCATGTCGAGTGATCGACTCAGGCACAACGTGTCCGAGCCTCTCTCACCTTCATCTCATCTTCGTCATTAGCAACGAGGGCAGCGATCCTCATCATTGGCGAGCGCTCATCAAGCTCTCAGCTTTGGCAATTGCACTGCCTCATCTGCGTTCGCTTGCGGGGCGCGCGTCACATCGAGTCACGCGTCAAGCCCTTTGCGACAAGCTCCGCTGATTCCCTTCTCATCCCATCGGTTCCTTGTACCACACTCGCACGTCTTGCGCCACGACAGCGGTGCATGGACTCCGAGAGCGCTGCAGCTTCACCATACTTCTGATGAGCGTAACGAGCCGAACGATGAGCACGCCACGAGGAGGAGCTGGTGGAAATGGCGCGCATCCCGGCAAGAATGTCAGCGGTGGACAACACACGCACGGAGGACGCAAAGGGCAGAACATTGACCATGTGAGCTGCTCCGTGTATCTCGACACGGTGGTGGGAGGTCTATCCCCGCCGTCTTGGATATGATGTCGCGGCTACAATGCGAGCGGGCGCGCCGTGCGCCATCACAGCTGCTGATCATCTCATCCTTGCGAAATGCACAGCTTCTCGGCTTCACCATGCCTCCTCGAGCACGCCCGCCTCCGCCAGTCGCTGCGAAGAAGAGACGTGGCGGCCACTTTACGCCCTTCAACAAGGAACGTAAGTCCTTGCTAGTGCCAGTCAGGCTCTAGTTGCAGCGCCAGCCGTTCACAACATTGTCGACTCCTCCTTTTCTCTACAGGCTACGTGAATGCGCAGTATCGTTTCCTGCTCAAGCCCACCGGCGATTACACCGCATTTTACGCGGACCCAGACGTGTTCCTTCACTGGCCGGACATTCTCAGCGTGTTGATCCCGACTTCCTCTGCGCTTTCCAACTCCGCGGCCCCTTCTTCTGCAACGAATGCACACGCCCCTCACCTCGAGACACACGAGGGCGCATCGTGCCCAATATGCCTCTCGCCGCCGACCGCACCACGTATGACCAAGTGTGGTCATGTATTTTGCTACCCCTGCATACTCCACTACCTCTCCACACCGGATGGGGAGGGGACAGCCACAGCATCTACGTCTTACTCTTCGTCGCCTTCTAGACCGGGCGCGGCGCCATACAGACCGCCTGGGTCTGCCCCAGCATCTCGTGCTGCCTCGTACAGCACCCAAGCAAGTACGCAGAGCACCAGATCCCCTCCCAAATGGAAGAGATGCCCCATCTGCTGGGATGCCGTGTATGCAAAAGATGTCAAGGCCGTGGAATTTTGGGACACACGAGCTGAAGCATTGGAAGCGGACGAAACGACAAACTGTGCCCCAGGTCCCTCGGACGGCTTACTGATGCGATTGATCGAAAGGCCGCATCTGACAACGCTAGCTCTGCCCATCTCAGCGACTTGGCCAGGATCCAGCGAGCCTCTAATAGCGCAGCGAGCTGCCCCTTGGCACTTCTTGCCTGACGTCAGGCGATTCTCAAAGCTGATGATCTCGACGCCCGAGCACGTAGAAGGGCATCTGCGGCGAGACGCTTCCGAGCTCGCAGCCGAACATCGGTTGTTGGAATCGCTGGGAGGAAGCAGCGAACCTTCGTTGCAGTTCGTCGATCTGGCGCTTGCAAAAGTCCACGAGCAAATGGATCGGGCACGTCGAGAGCTCGACCTTCCGCATGTCCGCAAAGCGATCGAAAAAGCGCTTGCCGACTTGGCCGACGTGCAGGAAACGGAAAGTGCACGAATACTAGGCGAAGCCTCCAGATGGCAGGACCGTCAACGAAGCCGTGTCAAGCCGCAGGCTGTCGTTGACGACGTCGAGACTCCACCGCAGGCACCAGACGCGCAGCCCAAGGGTGGCGAAGGTGCAGCGGAGCCAAGTGAAGGAGCAGCAGAGTGGCTGGCTCTTCAGTCTCACGTGCCAGCCGGTGGTGCGACGACAGTCCAAGGACTCAAGGTGGATAGCTCCGAAACCACCACCTCGCCAACATCTACCAAATCAGCTGCCCCGCGATCCAGGCGTAATATTAACCCACCTGCCCCATCTTCGTCTTCCTACCTCTTCTACCAGGCCGCCACAGGCCAGCACATCTACTTGCAACCCTTGGACGTCAAGGTACTGTTGGCCGAGTACGGTAGCTATGCAGCCTTTCCACGACAGCTGAAGCTCAAAATTGAGGGCGCTGATGAGGGAAGCATGAACGACGAGCTCCGCAGGAGGTGCAAATACCTGAGCCATCTTCCCATGGGCACCGATGTCGTGTTCTCCGAGGTTGACTGGGACTTTATGGCCAGTCAAAGCATGCAGCAGCAGGCCTCTTGGGAGGGCAATGTCGCTGGCGCAGGGGCAGCTTCATCACGGTCTGCCCACCAGCCGGTCGTTAGTCGGTCAACTCTGAAGCCCTTTGAACAAGGCATGAAAATTCGGAGAAATAGGAGAAGAGATCGCGAACGCAAGGATGACAGAGCTCGTACTAGAGCGGAAGAAGCAGAGGCAGCTTCTCGACCTGGCGGAGCGAACTTTGCAGCCAGACGGCAAGCAGCCATAGATAGCATTGCCCATGATCCCGAGCTTGCGGCGGCTGCGGCAGCTGGATTCGTGGGCGGGAGCAGCTATGGAAGCAGCCCGGGGGTAGGCGGTCTGGCCAGCAGTAGCTCAGCCGCTGAGGACACCGACGCCTCGCCATCGTTCAGAGAATCAGCTCTGTGGGGTGCAGATCGCGACTTTCCTATGCATCCCGGTGAGCCCGAAGAGGACTTCCCGGTGGCTCCCAGTACTCGGTCGCGTGCTGCGGCTGGACCACTCGAGCGATCTGCATCAAACACTGCAGGCCCAAAGACAGTTTGGGGCACTCGGGCCGCCCAAAGCCCGTTCGCAGCAGCGCTGCACGCCTCTTCGAGACTACCACAGGAAGGTCACGATTACGACGACAGCGGAATCGATTGGGATTGGCTAGATTTGGAGGAAGATTACATTGTAGGAGGCAGAAACGCTCCTCAAATGCGTGGCAGCAGAGGTCTGAACAAGCAGCCGAAGGGAGGCAACGCGTCCCCGGCCACACCAAGGAACGGATCCTCTGGTGCCCGAACGCCCGCTGCGGAGACACCTGGGCGGCCTTTCGTCCAGGCCGACAACAACGCTGAGCGCATGCCGACCTCTGTCGGCCGGCAAGGCCAGCCCTTGGACTCCCCTCAAGGTCAAGAATCAGAAATTGTTCCAACGCCCTCGAGCAGAAGAGCGAAGCCCAAGAAGAAGAAGCTGGTCCTGACTGCTGGCGGTCGAGGCGCAGCTTAGCCGAGCCGCACCTCGACGTCCAAATAAGACTCTAACCGTCTCCTCCTCCTTCTCCGCGACCCATGATACTTGCCTTTCTATATGCATGCTCGTACATCGTTTTTGCGTCTGTAACATAGATGACTGCCATTCGTTTCAGGCTTTGCCCAGTTGAAGTCCCCCTCAGCATGCTGATTGTGTGATTGCGACTCACGTCGATCTGGCCGCTGCAATAGGGCCGACGGTGTCGTGACCAAGAAGGTGTGTTGGCGTGCTGATGCAGTCGCGAGTGCATGCAGCTTATTGCAAAGAGCGGTAACAGCGCCTGCAGCGGCTGCGTCCAGGTGCGAAAGGTGCAGCGAAACGAGCTCAAATCTTGACCGGCTGAAAGCAAAGAGGCGCCGCGGGCAGCAGCAGCGAGCAGACGCGAGCTGCGCCCATCAATGCTCGGGCTGTTTAGCGTGCGCGCGAGTGGAGCGCAGCTCAGGAACGAGGGTGCTGTGTATAGGTACCGGTACCGCACCGCACCGCACCGCACCGCACCGGGTGCATTGTTGCAGGGTCTCAGCCCGTCGGAGCTGATATGCGTGCCTACAAGTCGAGAGTTAAGAGTCACAGTGTGAGTGGAGAGTGACCCGATCCGTGCCCTTCATACTCACTCACGAATGCTCCATGGACGAGTGCGAAAGACACCGAGGTCGTGTGGTCCGCGCCTCCCAAAGTGCATGGACGAGGTGCATAATGGGGCCATGCATTCGTGATTTCCTTGGGACGATCGATGATATGCACGCACCGCGGGTTCGTGCACCGGTACATCAACACACCTGTCGCCTAGAGCTGTGGGGCCGTACAGCAGCGTCGTGTAGCTCTTTGCCTATCAGTCGTGAGTATCCCGCGGCTGCGCCCATCCCACCGCATGCAAAGCTTGTTTCGCGCAGTCGTCAGTTGACAAGTCCTGATCGCGGTCCGCCCGGGATCCCCCTTCAAAGCCATTCAAGTCATTTAGCCGCACTCTTCGAAACGATCTCAACCGTGAACGTAGCGCCCTCTCCAGCGCACCTTGCGGCTCGCCTCCACGCACGAGTGCCCAGTCTCGAAAGGTTCTCAAATCACCTTGGCCAACAGAGCAGGCGCGTGCTAGTCGACTCTGCTCCCTCAACACGCTCGACATTCCACTAGCTGCGTCGTTTCCGCTGCCTGACCACAGAATCTGAGACAAGGTCCGACACATCAGACGGGTCTCGCTTGCGAGCACCAGCTAGCATACAATGACGGACGCAATCGAACGACAGATCTTGGAAGGCGTGCCTCTCGAATCAGCTCTGGCGTCTGGCAGCCGGACACCTCCTCGAACGCCCTCTCCCAGCACTTCGGATGAGCTGGGATCCGATCTCGACGACGATCAGAGGCAGCGCAGACGGACAGACGTTGATGGAGCCATACAGAGCCGTTCGGACGTACCCATCGACAGACCCGGCGCAAACACGGGACCCAAAGGTGTCAGAGCTGATGCTCGAGCTGCTGAAGGCGCGGCGAGAAAGGCACGGGACGGCGCGGCTCGGGAGAGGAGCGCGCGCATAGAAAGCGGCGCCTTGAACAGCCAGCTGACGTCGCACGAAGAGGACGCGCTGAGACGCCAAGAAGCGGCAATTGGGGGCAAGGAGACCACTGCGACGAGCGGCGCAAGGGAAACGGAAGCGCAGGAGCTGGAGAACCTACGAGCAGCGCGTATAGCCGAGCTTCGCCGAGCCCAAAAGGTGGCCGATGAGAGACGAAAGAGACGCTTAGCGGGAGAAGACGAGGATGTGGAAGCTTTGGCAGAGAATCTGGCGGAGCTGCAGAGCGACGCAACAGGCCCCGCACTGGTCGTCCCCCAATCGGGACTTGGCGGACTGCCACGCAAACCTGCTTCTCGACGCACAGGCTTCTTCGGACATTTGAGAGAGGTGGATCAGGATGGATATGCGGACGCAATCGATCGAGAAAGTCCCACGACCAGCGTCGTGGTGCATTTGTACGAAAAGGTGAGTGCATTGCTTGGAGGTGATGGCAAGAGTGATCGATTGGTTATTTGCGATCCCTGAACCGTTGCACGAAGCACCACGGTATGACTTGCAATGACCGAATGGCCTGACCTTGACAACGCATCTCTACATTCTAGGGAGTCCCTGCTTGCGCTATCCTCACCGCATCTCTAGCTTCTCTGGCACGGCTACATCCACACACAAAGTTCTTGCAGGCATGCGCCTCGGCTATCGGATTCGGCAGTGGTAGGACAGACTCGGCTCAGGAGGAGGACGAAGATGAAGAAGATTTTGCTGAAAGAATCGGCAACGCCATCGATTTGTCGCCCACACTATTGATCTATCGAGCGGGTGCGGTCGTTGCAAACTTGGTCCGCCTAGATCTAGACAGCGATTGGAATGGAGGAGAAGAAAAGGCTGTGAGGGATATTCTGCTCAAGTGAGTAACTGCATGTAAAGCAAAGTGCGATTCGAGACATGAGCTGAGCGTGCCGATCTTTCGCTGCCTTGCTACAGACATGCCGCAATCTCCGCCTAGGGTTCGCACACGCATGTCAAGTGAGGTGCTGCTCCAGCAGCATCACCGCGGCGGCTTGGTCTGAACACATTGAGCGTCATCCTTCGGCGATAGCGGCTGCCATTGCGACTTCGCAACGCCAAGCCGTCCACGGCTGGATATTCCTACTTGTGCACTCGCGGTCACCATACCTCGGCTTGTCGATGCCGCTCCTGAGTGCTCTCCGCGGGTCCCTCGGCCCCGCAGACATGAAAGATCCACCCCCTGTCATAGACAAAGCGCTCAACCAAGCTCGCAATGATGATCGATGTTGTGGACATTCTGGATCTCTTGCAAAGCATGAGAGATTGAGAAGCCACGTGATTGTTCAACCTAGCTGCGCCGCTGCTCAGCATCAGCGCGAGTGGAGGCCCCTTGGCGCAGGGGTGGCTGAGTCACGGGCGGCAGTACACTGCGACACCGCGCGGCCACTTGACCAGTGTTCAACAACATCGCGGGCGGTACCCAATCGTGAATGCATGCGCATGCAGCAGCGCGTTCCACCCTCGCGTGTCAACTGTGGTTCCTGCTCTGCGGGCACCTCATCAGTCACATCTCTGTTTGCTGCGTCGGCACGGCCCCACTCGTAAACCTGCGGTCCTCGTCATCGCTGATAAGACCCTTGTTCCGCTTCTCCGCAACGCCCTTGCACCACCCTCACCACCACAAGGCGAACACCACCTCTCGAATTTTTCTCACGATGCGCTCATCTTACCTTTCGCTCACCTCGGCAGCGGTCGTATGCGCCGCTGCCTTGGCTCGCCAAGTCTCTGGCGGTGTAACGCCACCTCTGGACTCTCTGCGTGGTCCTGCGGAAGAGCTGCAAGTGGACGCCATGGGTGGAATGCACTGGGCGAGCGAGAAGCTGGAGCAGGCCAAGCAGGCAGTTGGCGCTTCTCCCAAACCTTTGAGCAGACCCACCTTCGAGGACCTGAACGTGTCTGAGCTCGAGGAGCAAGCTCGTCCGGTGACGGAATGGCTCAAGGAGCAGCTCATCGAGGCCCAAAGCTCAACCGAGCAAGGCGCCGAGATGCTGTTTGACGAGATCCATCAGCAAATCGAGCACGCTAAGCACAAGGTAGAGAATGCGTTCAAGAACGCCAAGCACGACGCTCAAGGCTGGATCAGCAAAGGGCTCGTCAGCGTTCAAGGAACTCGATACGAGCGATTGGTTCACCACCAATTCCCTAGATACTCGCTCCGCATCAGTCAGACGCCCTTGGACCACTGCGATCCCGACGTCAAATCTTTTGCGGGTTATCTCGACATTGATGCGGACAAGCATCTTTGGTTCGCCTTTTTCGAATCGCGCAGCAACCCCGCAAAGGACCCCGTCACGCTTTGGCTGAACGGTGGACCTGTGAGTGTCATCGCTGACTGAATCGATCGGCCGCGCAGATTGCTGACGCTTTGCGCACTACATCTGTACCCCTTTCCTCCCTCTCAAAGGGATGCTCTTCCTCGACTGGCTGGCTGATGGAGGGTGTAGGCCCTTGTACCATCGACAAGAATGGCACTGACACCAAGGTGAGCATTATACATGCGCTCCCTACAACCCTCTGTATATATGCGCCATCGCAGTACTAACGACAGACGCTGCTCGACCTTCTGCAGTACAACAAGCACTCGTGGACCTCAAAGTCCAGCGTATTTTTCTTGGATCAGCCTGTCAATGTCGGCTTCTCGTACAGCGAAGGTGGAGGAGTGAACAGCACTCCGCAAGCTGCCGACGATGTATATGCTTTCCTGTCCCTATTCTTCGCTCGCTACCCTCAGTACTCCAAGCAGCCCTTTAGCATCGCTGCAGAGAGCTACGGTGGACGCTACGCTCCCCTGTATGCCGCCAAGATCAATGAGGAGAACAAGAAGCTGGCTCGCAGCAGATTCGCCAACCCTGACACCATCGCTACCAAGGTCATCAATCTCGAAAGCATTCTGCTCGGCAACGGTCTTACTGAGCCTCAAACGCAGTTTGAGACCGTTCCAGAGTACGCTTGCAAGGGCGAATAGTGAGTCGTAGCTATCATTAATGCCTTTCAGCGCCCCCCCTCTGACCCCCGGTGCGTTCATCAGCGCCATCTTCAAAGGCAATTCCGAGGTGTGCGATAAGCTCGAGTCTAAAGCCAAGACGTGCTCATCTCTGATCGGCTCATGCTACAAGAGCAATTCGCGCCTGGCTTGCCTTCCCGCCGCTTTGTACTGCTGGTCTGGCCTCTACGGCGATATGCAGAATGCGGGTGTGAACCCGTACGACGTCAGAAAGAAGTGCGACAGAAGCGAGGACAAGGACGGCCCTCTTTGCTATCGTGACGAAAGCTACGTGCAGGCGTTCATGAACCTCGACTCTACGAAGAAGGCATTTAGCGTTCCCCAGGACATCAAGTTTGAGGCTTGCAACATGGAGGTCAACCAGGCATTCATGTTCCAGGTGAGGACATGTTGCGCATGGCTCTTGACGGGCTCCTGCTCACCAAGTCTTTCGTGCCTTTTAGGGAGATGGCATGCACAACTCTGCTGCGGTTATCCCTGGACTGATCGAGGACGGCGTTCGCGTTCTCGTGTGAGCATCGAACTTCTCTGCGACTCTTTCGCTCCGAGGCTGACCCACTTCTATGTCCACTTTTTGCGCCAGCTACGCTGGTGTGGCAGACTACATGTGCAACTACATTGGAAACGTCGGTCATAGCGCTTGGGGCCTCAAGCTCGACACTCCCTTCAAGGACGAGCTGAACGCCGCCAAGAAGCAAGAGTGGAAGGTTGACGGCAAGGTTGCTGGTGCTGTTCGTCAAGCAGGCAAGGGTGCCGGAACCTTTACCCTGGTCGAGGTCAAGGGAGCCGGTCACATGGTCCCCTACGACCAGCCTCTTGCAGCTCAGGTGCTCTTCGAGAAGTGGCTCGCCAACGAGTCTCTGATCTGAAGCACCCTCTGACGGCCATCACGATGCACTCCTGGGATCTTTATCCTCATCTCGAGAAGACATCGATACATTGTGCCGCTTCACGACTGACCATTGATCTCAATGCACCCTGGCTTCCCGCATTCGCGTTGCAGACGGTGGTCCGCAAGATTGTCATGTCCTACCAATGACTGCTCGAAATACACGCGTTCGTAGAGAAACGATTTGTGTTCTCCCGAGCTCGGCCGCACCTTTGTGGCCTGATTCGCGCTCGTGGCGGTGCTGAGCAGTGAAAGCCGAAACGCGAATGAGCACTCGAGATTGGAAGCTGGGCTGGTCATATGTTGATTGCGCGAGCTCAGGTACATGTACAACATGAGGGAACGGAAAGCGTGGCACGCGAAATGAAAGGAGCCCATTGGTGCGTTCGAGTCTGCATTGTCTAGAGTCGGATTGGTATGCGGATGTGGTTGTGATTCTTGAGGACGCTTCGATGCACACACGGTCGATGGGGCGCTAAATCATGGCGAGCGAGAACAAAAAGTTTGGCAACGATTCGGAAACGCTGGAGCACTGCTCCTGCTAGAATGTAGAAGCTGGCGATGTACGCCGCACCGGACGTGGTCCAGTCGATTAGTCGAGAACGAGATTGGGCGCAGCACTTTGCTCCAGCAACGTAGCGCCCTACTCTCATCTGGAAGCCGAGAGCGCTCTGGGGGCGGGCAGCACAGGCGTCGCGAGCTGCGTGTGATCCGCACCTTGCCTCACAGCTTCCGTTTGGCGCGAGCCGCGTGATGTAGCTGCGGGCGGTGAGAGAGACTCGCCAGAATGGGCCCCATTGCTTATGGTCGCGCTGCTGATCGGATCAGCCAGCTCCTGCACTGGCGAAGGCACGTGGATGCGCAATTGCGGAAAGTACGAATCACGCTGACTATGCGAGGAGCTTGCATCCGAGGCGATGGCCGCATGCAAACGCCCACTGCTGCCTGGGGTGGTGCTATCACTGAAGCTTACGCGTCTGCGAGAGTGTCGATCGACAGTCTCGCCTTGGGCAGAGGAAGAAGAAGACGGCGGGCTTCGCGAGCCGAACGAAGCGGCCAAAGCGGCTCGAAATGCCGCAAATTCAGGTGCCGGAGCGTGGGTATTGGAGACGGGCATTCTTTCCTCGGCGGACGGGCGCGCCGGCGTAAAGTCACCGGAGGCTGAGAAGTCGACTGCCAGGCTAGGCTGCATAGCAGGCGAGGCCGAAGCAGAAAGCGAGGGAGACATTAAGCGAGACAAGCGTCGACGTCGCTCCAACGCACTGGTTTCGAATGCTCGGACATCTTGTGATCCGCGAGTCGATTTGAGGGAGCTAGCCTCCGAGCCCGAGTCGCAGATCGATGCAGTCGACTGATCGGGCACTACCTGGGTCTGTGCTGAGATCGACGATGCAGTGCGCTTGATTGCAGAGTATCGGTGAGGCCAGGCTTGCAGAGTGGGCACTACGGGGCCAGTTGCTGCTGTTGCGGTATCTGTGAAGCGCGCAGACGAGATGGAGCGTGGACTTTCGCCGCACAAGGCTGCAAACCCGCTGCCCGAGTTCGACCGAGGTAGCGTGCTAAAGGTTCCGCTCGGGCTGATTCCATCTGTGCTCACGGCACTCGCGGGCGGACTAGTGCTCTGCATCGTCGCGCCCAATGTCCCTGCCGAAAAGCTCGCCCTTTTGCGACCACTAGTGCTGAAATCGGACCATGTCGGAAGCCATGTACCACTTTGTGAGGGAGGCGCCTTCCACACGTCGCCTTCCTCGGACACCGAAGATGCAGCAGGGCTGAAACTACGTACTGAAGCCTTCCTAATTTGATCCTCAGCATGTTGTGCGGCGGACTCTGGGCGTGACCTCTCCTCTGATGGTGCTCGATAAAACATGGACAGGGCGGACCACGAATCCATACTCTTTCTTCGTCCGCCGTCCGGTCTGACATGGCCATGATTTGCCATCGCTGTAAGATCTTCACTGCCGCCTCGAGTCATACCTGACGATGTCGGCGAGCTCAAGGAAGCCTCGGAACCAACTACCCGCACGGGCATGTCCGAAAACGATGCGCCGATCACGGCACTTCTTTCGAGCGCAGAGGCTCTTTCGGCCCTTCCACTCGAAGTCGACGCAGCCGAGGCTGTCGGCCGCCTTCGCGTCACGATCTGCGGGCGTATGTGGAGATTCGGGTGCGACGGGATGGGTGCAGAATCGCTCGGGGCCAGGTGCGAATCTGGTTCTGCCGAATCGTGCGCTCCGCAACCAGCAAAAGCAGTGTCTTCGCCCAAGACTCCTAACACGCTTTGAGGACGCTTTACTCGACTGTGATGTCGCGAGAGGGATTGACTGAACGTCGCGGACGCGGGCCGGCCAGGCATTTTGAAGCCATCGTTGCCCGTTGGCTCATCCTCGGGCGAAGTCGGCCTGCTTGCTGTGTCACGCTCCGAGAAAGAGCTCGTTGAGCGCATCATCGCACTGTTGCTGCGCGCCATCAGCAGAACATCCGATGGCAACGATGTTCGCCGACTACGCGCCAAGTCGTCAAGCTGCGGCACTTCCGCGTCAGAAGCGCCCGCACGTCTGGAAAGGGACATGCCAATTTTTTGACCGTCAAGAGAGGTTGGTGGAGCAGGACCCACCTCGTTAGGCCCACGTGGTCCACTTTTCAAACGAAGTGGGTCGGCTCGCAACCATTCCAGCACGGCTTCAAAGGTGGTTAAAGCCCAACTGAGAAGCAAAAACATGGAGAGGTCAGAAGATCTTTGGGCGCCAACAGAGCAGCCACTGCCACGATGACTCACCTCGTCTCAGCATTCGTGGAGTTGTCGATGCCAAATGTTCGTGCATACAACAGTGCGCTACCGAAAGCCGCAGGACGTGCTCGCACAATGACAGTAGCGACGATCGGTAGCAACTCGTCGGCGCCCAGGGGCCGTGATTCGTGCGAATCGAGCATGCTGCCCAAGCTCGAGTGGCTGCTTGTTCGTGCTGCCGTCGTCACCGAATCACCAATCGCTTTGAGAATGGAGACCAGCGTCGCGAGTATATCCAATGGCGTCCGTACCCGTTGCGAGGACTGCGTACAGCCAGACCAGTCGCCTTCCCGCTGAGACGAGCCTTGCGCTAGACTTTGGAGCGTAGAGGCGTCTAGCCTCATAAGCCTATCCGCTTCTTCGTTCGCTGTTCCAATGCTTTCCAAGATGCGCACAGCAGGGTCCAGTCGAGCGGGTCGAGTTCGCAGACTAGACACTGTCACTCCAAGGGATACTGCTGCTGGCTTGCCCGACTTGGCGTAGGTGTGCAGCAACGCATCGAGTGCCTCGTCTTCGACGCGCTGCGTTGCGCGCACTGCTGGATACAGGCGGCTGTGCAAGGTTCCAAAAGCCACATTCTCGCAGGCTAGAGCTAGCCTGTGTCGTAAGGCAGAGCCCAAGCTGGCGGTGGGTCCATCCAAAAGTCGAACTGCTGGAAGCACAACGCCTCGGCGAATGCGCGTTGCGTCGTACTGCTCAAAGCCCCGAACCAGCACATAAGCGCTTCGAAAGGAGTCGGCGTTTCTTTGGATCTCTGCAAAGGCCGTGCTCAAGGCGTTCCGCAGCGTTTCTGGAAGGTCCATCGGCGGATTCTTGAGCACCAGCAAGTCGCACGCCAGATTAGGCTGCTCAGGAAGCACTGCCTGAATGCGTTCCTGTAACAAGGTGCTGGCACTGCGCATCGACACCGATCTACCCATGCTTGGCGCTCTGCTGAGATCCGTAGGCGATTGAGGTTCGGCGGAGGGAAAGACGATGGAGGCCGCTGAGCTTGGTGCTCTCGACATGGGAGCGCTAGAGCTGGCGTCCTGCATGGTCTCGTCGACGATCGGGCTAGCTGCTGCTTCGCCAGCATCGCACGCGTCCAAATACCTAGGAGCGATCAAGCCGTCCAGGAGCAAAACTCGCACGCGGATCTTCTCCTGCTTGCCCTTTAGCTTCGCTGCACATGGTTGTACTGGTCGCGAGAGCACCTCAAAGCCGTGGGGCGAGGTTGGTGCACCAGGAGAGCTAGCACCGGCGCGCTTCTCATCCGGCCCTTCGCTGACAGCCTGAGTGCGATAGACACTCACTTCGCTGACGACACGCGCCACGCATTGGATCGCAGGCCTGTCAGGCCGATGAAGGCAGACCGATACTCGACGATCCTCTTCGAGTGTGGCCGTGAGCTGGCACTCATCCCACTCCGAGCGAGCGCTGGACAAAGTCGGAAAATGGACATTTGGGGCTTCCTGAGCGGAGGAAGTCTCGTCCTTAGCATCACGACGGTCTAGATCCTCGACAGGTCGCTTGCGGGTGGTGCGCTGCGAGGTCTGATCAGAGCTTCGCACATTTACATACTGGCCGCGGTAGACAGGTGAAGGCTTGAGCGCATGTAGTGCGGTCCAAGCAGGCTCTGAGTCAACTGGGACGCTCATTTCTCGAAGCAAGGAAGCTGGCGGAAGGAGGACGAGCCTGGCAGCACGCCAATCCTGCTGATGCACTGGTGTCTCCGAGAGTGCGGTGTAGACTGGATTGACGTCAAAGTCATCCTCCTCTTCGTTGTCCGAGGCGTGCGTGAAGGAGTACATGGTCTCATCCGCCCGACTCTCTTGTAGGGACATGCGTCCGAACTCGTCGTGTATGGATCCTGGCTGCTTGCTGAGACCGCTCTGGCCAGAGAAGGATGACAGGGCATCGAAGCTGTGAGCGCGTGGCCTGCTGGGGCCTGAGAGCCAGCCACTGAAGGGTGCGGTCATGGCTTGAGTGGAGGAAGAGTCCGGACTTCGAAGCGAGGCTAAGCTGGACACGGTAAGCGCTGGACTCAAGGGCACGTGGCTCTTGTGATGGACGAAGTCGGTCGACGCCGTGCGGGTCGAGTGCGGCGTGAGAGGCGCCGAGTAGAGCGAAGAGGCAGGCGAGGACGACCGGTCGGCGGGTGATGGACGGTTGAGACCGCCGCCTGGTGATGAAGAGAATGCATCCTCAAGAGCGTCCGAATGGCGCGCGTTTGCCTCTTTTTTTTGGGCCTCCTGCTGTCGAGCCTTGGCCCGTTTGCGGAAAAGACGTTGGAGTGCGCTCGCCATGATGAGCCAAGTGCCTCGAGCGTCCTTCGAAGCAGATTTTGACAGAGAAATTGGTAGGGGGCGAAGTCGTGAGCAATACGATGTTTGCAGCAGTTCCACATTTATAGAGCGCAACGATTTACTGAGAAGCGAAAAAGCTGGTCGGCAATGGACACAGCTTGAAGCGCACGGAGCGCTGTCCGTGTGGAACTGCCGCCATACAGATCCGTATCGAAGAGAAAAGGAGCCGACGAAACGAGAGCGAGACGATGGACGATGGATGGGTGGGTGTAAGGATTGAGGAGCAAGTCGCGGCGGCGGCTGATGCATGGGTCGCGCAAGATTCACGCGAGCGTTTGACACCGTAGGCGCGACCCACGTATGCACGCAGCAGTCACAGTCAAAATGAGTCCCGAGTGACTCTCCCGCGTTCTGCATTTTCACGTCCGCGATGACTTTGCTTATACTCGCAGCTGTAGCGGCGTTGCACCTCGAGTGCGTCCAACAGCAAGCACGACGAGCAGCTCCGGTAGCAAGAACAAACTGCACAGTCTGAGTACGCGCAGACGTCTCACCTGAATTCACCCCCGCCGCATGAGACCTTTTTGATTTCGCTAGCGCCATCTCGTCAACGACCGCGGTAGCTAAACAATAAATGCTGAAGTGCATGCCAAGCCATCAAAACTCATGTCCCCTCGCGGCTAGCTGCTGCACGTACCCCGGACAAGCAATCTCAATCTTGAATTGATTCAAGATTGAATCAGCAGTCGACCGCATGACGGCCACATCGTTTGCCAGCACTCGATCGTGATCGAACTGACTGCTGGTATAGAGGGATCCACCCATGCATCCGTGTTTCACGATTCCTACTTCAACTTGTGATCATATTCAAATTTGCGTCCGTTCGTACGCAGGCGCGCGATGTTGGATTACATTCATAATTCGCCATTCAGATTCGTGATTCCGAGACTTCCTTCAAGGGCGGATACAAAGACGCATCGCTGCTCATCGCACCTCCGTTATAGCAGACAAGGCATACGCAAAAGGGTGCAAAATGTAACGTCTTTTAGCCCCTTTGATCAGCTCGTTGCAGTCGTGAGTCGTGCATCGGTCAAGTCAAGCGCGGCTCGCGGCTCGCGGCTCTTACTCCGCCTTGTCCAGCAGCAGCCAGTCGCGTCGACCGCTGTAGGGGATGCGTCTCAATCGTGAATTGCCAATTCGGGCCGTTTAGCGGCGTTGGATGAGCGCGTCTACATTTTGATTCGCGATCAACCTTGAGCTTCAGCACTCAAGACTTCACGCGAGTAGTAGTAGAGTGAGCATTCATTGTCATGACCTTGGCTGCTTCATCTGACGTGCTCGCGCCACGAGTCAGAGGGCAGCAGCACGCTCAGTCATTTTCAGGTGCTCGTCGAGAGCGTGTGGAGCAAAAGCATGCAATGATTAGCACTATGTATGTGAGATGAATTGGGATGAGCCTGCGTTGGGCGTCGATCACCATGTGCAATTAGGCGATGGGCGGGCGAGAGCCGTGCTGAATGAGTGTGGATAAGCGTGAATGAATGCGGGGAGAATGATAAAGATGAATTGTCCGCGCTCGAGGAGATAAGGCGCCATGCACTGGCATTTTTTTAGTGCTGAAGATGGATTGGCGGTGGCCAGGAAAGGTATTTCGCTCCCTCCGGCTAAGGTCATCTTTGAAGCAACTAGGGAATCACAGAAGAGCAAGGGCACCAAATACGACGCCTGCGGCAGCAATTGCGACAGTGTGGCGGTCCATGCTACGAGCCAGCGTCGTGGCCGAGTCAGGCGAGCCAGAGCGTGGGGTTCCAGTACCGCTACCAGCGGGCGCACCGGCACTCGAGCTGGTGGCTGCTGGGCTTCCTGAGGAGCTCGAGTTTCCAGCAGCGGTGGACGTCGCAGCTGGCGCTCCGTTGATCGGCACGACGGTTGTGGGCAGGTTGGTTGCAGTGGCGTTGGGGCCGATCAGTACGACGTCTGTATAGGACTCCACACTGGGGTCTTGCACCAGCGACGCTCGAACGGTGTCTGAGGGAGGACCAATGATAGCGAGTGAGCATGAGTCTCCGATTGCTCCGATTGCTCCCAAAGCAAACGTCTGCTCTGCAACGCAGAGACTCTTTCCAGGCATGACGGGCACCGTCAGATCACCCCAATGCCGTCCGCTGCACACCCAAGAATGCCACGCTCTATCAGCTAACTCACAGTTGCCCTCCCAGCCGTTAGGAATGATGAATTCGTAGCGGCCACACTTGACGCCGTTGTTCTGCTGACCAACACCCGCTCCTGCATCACATCGGTCGCCTTCGCTGTTGCTTGCGACAGTGGCAACGTGGTGCGCGACGTAAGAGGACGCGTTTCCCATCAGGTCAATGTTGACATCGCCAGCTGGGGGGTTGAGCCAGTTGACGGCGAGATTCCCACCGACCTGCAAGCCGTTGAAGGAGCGCGTCAGCATGGAGTGTCGTGTCCGACGCTCTCGAGCTACATCGCTTCTACTCACAGAAAGATTGACACTGCATTGGTAAAAGTCGCATGCCGGGGCATTCAAATACAAAGGCTAATTCGAGGTGCAGAGGCCCCACCCTGTGAGCGATTGGTGCGTCATGATCACTGCCATCAGCGCGGATCTTGGCACTTACCGTATTAGAAAGTGGTTCCTGCCTTGCATTGAGCGAAAGCAGCTGTGAAGCTTGGTAGGCTTGAGGGAAGGCCGCGGCGGAGGCGAGGGTGCTGGCCACGCCAATTAGAAGAGCCAAAGAGTGCATGTCGATGTGATGAAAAGATGTAGAGCGACGACAGAGGCGAGAGAGAGCGAGCGAGAGACTTTCGTGGCGAGAAGGCGAGGAAGGCAAGGCGAAGGTAAAAAGGGCGGTCTGATCGAAGCGAGAGGGATGACGTGCAAGGATGAGAGTTGTGAAGAAACGGCGCAGAGCGGATCAAAGTCGGAAAGGAAGATGACTTGCTTCTTATGTGTCAGGGCGACAGCAACGACAGCGAGGGATTAGTATATAAGGATGGAGAAAGGAGATGAAAATCTTTGATTGCTCGGATGGATCGAAGCGAGCGCCTCCTTCGTGATTATTGTGATTATATTCGGTGATTTATTGATTCGGAGGGGCAAGCACTTCGATGACATTGCGCGCGCCCGAGCTATGCGCGAAAGCATGCATCAGCATCGCACACGAGCATCGCCGAGCTTCACGCCTGGCGCGAGCCTCATTCCGTCCACGGCGCGCGGCGGCTTTTCTTGGGCGCGCCACTCCGCGGTGACTTCCACCACGCTACTCCGTGAGCAATGAGCATCACGGACGAACCTATAATTTGAATTATATATATACGGTATAGCAGCAGCATCATATGCAGCGTTACTGCATGCTTGCGAACCTCTTTGCCCCTAAATCAGCAGGTAGGTGCGCCTGCTCTCATTCGAGATCGCGATATACGCTCGAGAGCAGGTGGAAGCAAGGGAAGCTTGGTGCTTTCCTGACAATGCGTCCGCTCATTACGTCCCACCGTGTGCACATTCGCGCAGACCCCGGCCCTTGTCATTGCAGGTACTCGATCCACGACGAGTGAGGCTGGCTCTCGCGGCGCGTCTGACGAGAAGCGGAATGGTGTGGCTTCGCCGGTGCATGCTGCATCAGCTCTCTCTCTCTGCGGAGCGAACGAGCACGTATGTAGGGCTCGCGGCTCTATGACCTGTCTTGCTATACATATGCGCGCCGTCGTCGTGTTTCCAGACGCTGCAGCTAGGTAAAGGCTCGGTGATTTCTCTGATTGTTAGCCTTCCAACTACAACCAGCGCAACCAGCGCAATGGCGTCTGATTGCTCCTCCGCCACCCCACAGTCTTCGCAGCCGTTCAACCGGTGTACCGGACGTGATCGACCTCCTAGCGTCCGGCGTGCAGCCAGCCCCGCGAGATGCTCAACCGAGTCCGACCGCTCCATGGATGTCACGTCGCTTCACGCCGCTTGCAAGCTGATGAGTCTCAATCATGAATCGTCTGCCTCAGAAATGCAAACACGACTGACGTCTGAGCCTGGCAAGAGAGCAAGTAGAGCAAATCGGTAGCGGCGTGTCAGCGCGGCTTCTGCGGAGCATGTTGAAGACCGTCTTGTGTCGAGGCAATCGCGGAATGATGTCCACACGCGGTGACACAAATTTCTACTGAGATCTATGATACACGTGCCGCGGAGACCCTCACTGATGACCCCGCCGGAGATCTCTTTAATTGACTCATGACTCATGAGTCAACAGTTTTGAGTGTGAGTGCATGCAAGGGTCCTCTGTGCAGCTGACGTGTTCCGACACGTGACCGAAACCCTTGCGCCTGATTTCGCGCGCGTCTGTCTTCTCCACAGCCGAGCTGTGATCATGCATGCAGCAGCAAGGATAGATTTGGCTGTGCGGCCCTGTCGGGCAAGCACACTGCAGCTCGTCTAGAGCACACAGCACAGCGGGGCGGACATCGGCGCGGGCGCGAGTATAGCTGCCTGCTCCGTCCGTCCGCTCGCCCGTCCGCTTCACTCTCACGCGCTCTCCCGCACATGCTGCTGAAAGCGCGCGCATCGTGCGCCCCGCGGCCATGCGCGCGATCAAACGAGGTGCGGTGCGCACGCACGCAATCAGGACTTTGCCATTTGCGATGCAGCAATCGCGCATTCTTGATTGCTATTCTAGCTGTTGTGCGGTAATCGGCAACCTCTTCGAAGTAGGGGCTCCGCATAAGATCACCTTGTTGGCCTGCTCCTCGGCGACAGGCCGAGCCTGACTGAGCACATAGAGCGGCCGCGCAACCTTCCTCTTTCCATTTCACCTCGTTGGTCCTTAACCACAAGCCTGATCCTATCTCGCTGCGTCCATCCTGTCGCCAACTTTCATCAGCGCTCCACATAGGTACTCATTGGAAGATTGAACCATCTGGTCAGCGACACGACGAGCAATAGACGGTTGCGGCGAGCGATTGCGCTCGACGCATACATCCTCCCCCAGACTACGTGACTGTTGTGCTTCGCCAGCAAGGGCGCAAGTAGCTTCTCGAGCCCTTCTTGGAGCTTTCGCGCCGGCTGGGTATCCTCTCGCTGCATTGACCTCCATCGCTAGAAATGCTCATCACCGACTCAGGACGCTAGGTCGGGCATTTTGCCCCGCCATTCCTCTTGATCTCGATTGAGAGAGAGCGTTCATTCCACATAAAACACTTTCACCGCTCACACGTTTTAGGCATCCGACGGCCCGGTACCATCACAACACCATCTTGACACCGAAATGTCGCTCGCTGCTCCTCGAAGGGGACTTCCAGGCGGAGGCTTCTTGCGCATGGTACCGGATGATGACGACTCGCGACCTGCGGTGACATCGCCTCCCAAGGCTCCAGAAGCAGTCCCAGCCTTTGCGCCCCCTCCCGCTTCGTATGGAGTCTGCCGTTCCCCTACAGCATCGCCATTCCGGCCAGACTCAAATTCTCAGGTCAGGCCCCGCACCGGAGCTGTGTTTCAAGTGGGGGCTGGCGACACCTCAACATGTCCAACACCATCCACCGGCGAAGGCTCGCCAGCGCCGTTCGATGTGCGTGCCAGTTTTGCGCCCATGCCGAGGTATGGCAAGCAGCCTGCAGTGCCCCGCGAGGTAGCTCCGGCAACCTCGAGGAAGCGGCCGGCCTACATCGAGACCGCATACGTCAGCAACGGCGCTCAAGGAGAGGCCGATCCGGACGATGACGGGCAAGGCATTGAGTATGCAGGGAGGCGGTGGAAAGGCAAGACAGCGCATGCAGTCGAGCAAGAGATGGAGGAGCTGGGTGATAGGACAGTCATGAGCTACGCGCCTGATGCTGTCTACCTGGCCAGCAGGCTCGAAGGTCTGAAGCGGAATCTCGAGGCGAACGACTGGGAGAGGAAGCCGCGTTATCTAATATTCGAAGAAGAAGAGGAGCAGGACAAGGACGGCATGGTACAGAAGGAGGCTGGCACATCAAAAGAGCCAGCGCCTCATGGGTCCACCTTGCCACAAGCACTGCCAGTCCCGGTGCCGAAAGTGCCAGGTGTGGCGGATCCTCATGAACAGCTGCCACTGGCAGATACTGCCGACGAGGACGATGATGACGCGGACAGCATCACTGCCGAGCTCTCACCCCCTCAAGAGCTTGACGTGGATCTCGATCTCGATTTGGAAACCGAGAAACGACTGGAAGAGGAGGACGTGGCTGGATCCGACGCGCCTGTGTCGTCAGTCGGACATGCTACGTGGAAGTATGCCCAGCTCAGCTCGGCTCTCTCAGAGGGAGACGCAGACAGCAAGGATGGGCAGACAATCCGGCCTGGTCAGTCGACGCGAGCAGGTTCGATGGCCGGCGTCCAGCTGCACGTTCCTCCTCGCATCGACCCAGTGGCCAAGCAAGCAGCCTTGGATGCGCGAGTCGACGTGCGGAGCTTGCGCAGACCTGATTTGGAGCAGGTCAGAGAGCTGCATTGCTTGCACGGCGACCAAGACCTAAAGGTGAGTCAGATGACTACGCGGTGGACGATCGGAAGCTTCTTATGTTCGCTGGCCCGACACTGAAACCTCGCTGTGCGACACGTAGGTCGACTTTGATACATACACCACGAGTGCTGGATTCTTGATCCGCCTTTTGGTTGACGAAAAGCACGTGTGCTTGGTCGCTGTTGCAAGGCCACTGCCTGAGCCCGCTCCCCTGCCAACGCAATTGATGCCCAGCTGTCCGCCTCCCTCCTTGGACATGCCGCCGAGTGGTGGCCAGTACCTCCTAGCGGGACGGGGCATAGCTGGGGCAAGTCCATATCTCACAGGAATCGCCAATCGCACCCTTGCCACGCCAAAGCGCTTCGATCTCAATACTGGCTGGCACTCTCCGGGGGCTAGCGGACCACCGTCTACGAGCGGGCTCTCACGGGATGATGCTTCTGGCAGCACATCCACACCGCCCGACAGCTTGTTCGGCACATCGCCTCGAGACGCGCCTACTTTCGTCTCCACCTCGTTGAAAGGTCCTTCCAAGCTCTCTGGCATCCTTTCGCCACGCAGAAGGAGCGGTGCAGCCAATGGCAATTCAGGGTCACGGCTGCAGCAAACAAGCGTTCCAACAAGAGGGCTGAGGAGTGGCACAGCTTCTCAAGATCAGAGCTCGAGCGAATTGCAGACCGCGCCGACCTCGTTGGATTCGCACTCGCCACCCGAAGAGCCGAGAAGGGGTTTCAAAACGGTCCTTGCGGGACCGACAAATTCCGTTGCTCCGCCTCGTGCCGTTCGCGTCATGGCTGCGCCTCCACCTGGTGGGCTCTTCAACACCGACGCCGAGACGATCTTGGGTGTAGCTTCAGCCAAGATTTCGACCAAGGCAGTACCACCCAGCTACGCTGGCGGCGACCTGTGGCCCGGTATAGATTCTGCGCCTGCCCAAGTCATGCCTCATCTGGAAGCGCATGTATTGACACTTGCTGTGGCTCACTCGGAGAGGGGTCAAGGATTGGGAGCGCGATTACTAGATGCGCTTCTCAAAGAGGCGAAAGCAAAAGCTGTTGCGTTGGCGGCCAAGCCCCGCAGGAGAGGCAGCAACCAGAACCGGTCGGCTCCCACCACCGAGCAGCTCATGGCGGAACCCATGCACACCACTCTTGAAGTCCATCCAGCCAACTCTGGCGCTCTAGCACTCTTCCAATCGAGGCAGTTCCACAGGGTCGAAGGTGCGCGTGGCACGCTCCCGCGATACTTTCAGGGCGATTGGAGAATCCCTTTGGAAGAGAGACAAAAGATAGGCGGCACGGATGCTTGGGTTCTTGAGCGACACGCTCCTTGAGCCATATAGCGCCCGTCGTCAAAACGTGTTTCTCAATCCATTTGGCCTCACTTCTGCTTCTCACGGCTTCCTCCAACAACGACTTTTAGAATTCCGTACTCGTTTGTCACTATAGTCTCGGCTCCGCACTTTTCATGTTTTCTCCACGAGCCACACATGCTAGAATGTTTCATCCATCACCTTCAAGGATCGCATGCGTTGTTTGCGATTACTTTGGCGGTCCGCCGTCGGCACGCGTCTGCAGAGAAATCACATTGGGACAAGAGGCCGATCATTATCTGGTCATAAAGCGTCGTCAGTGGGTACAGCGGGCGAGGCCCGATAGCAGATGGCAGATGAAATCAAGTGCGTGCCGTGCGTCGTAGCGAATTGACGCGGTGGCAAGCTCCGAGCGCGCAGGTCGCGCCATCTACGAGTCCTCGAGGATGGCCTCGTTGAGCTCTTGCAATGGTGCCAGCTCGCGACTCTCGATGAGGTTGAACTCGGTGACGAAGAGCAAAAAGTGACGGTAGGAGGTGTTGAGGTGCGCTGCGGTGGCAGAGTGAAGGATCGGGCCTGAGCTCCCTGCGCACCTTCGTGCGCAAGCAGACTGATTTTCAGAGGCTCACCTTCGATGGACAATGCGCAAATCTGGGCAAAGTGGTGGTTGTAAATGTGCGCATACACTCTAAAGAGGCGCCTCAAAATTCCCTTGACAGTAGCTTGAAAGTTGTCGGGAAACGGCACACCGAGCTTGGAAGGGAAGACTTCTTCGTCGTCGAGCAGGTTCTGAGTCCAAGTCATGAGGCAATCGACGTACTCTGGTGCGCTCATGCGAGTGGGTCGCTTGTAAGCTGCAGAGTTGGCATCCTGCCAGTGATACTCGTAGCGAGGACCTGCGGTCATGCTGGGGCATTCGTGGGGTGTGCAGAACTCGGTGATGGTCCCGTACAGCATGTTGAGATGGTTGAAAAAGTCGCCAGCTGCAAGGTGCAAAGCATGATGGTGTGAGCAGCGCTGGCTTGCGTGAATCCCATCAGCGCACAGCACCCGTCCCAGCTGCTTTACACCACAGACGCTCCCTCTATACCGCTGCTCGAGCGGTCCCACCTTGCAAGCATTCGCATAGACTCACTGTTGACCGCCAGCCACTCATCCAGATCCTCTCCCTCTGGCAAAACCACCGCCTGTCTCAAGTTTCCACTACCCAAAGTAGCCTCGGCATAGCGCTTGAGCTGGTACTGCTTGGTACCCTCGGGCACATTGCGCTTGGGCTTGAAAGTGCGCGTCTTGCTCAGTCCAAAGAACGAAGACATCGTGAGCGGCAAGGAGATGGTGTGATGAAGCTGAAACGCTGTCGGTCGTGATGTATTGTGCACTGAGAGGAGCGCGGCTGATGCGCTAATCGGCGTGGCTCCGTCGAATGGCAGGCGCAACGGAAGGGGCTGATGTGATCGGCCGCACCGAGATGAGCTGACGCGTGAGGGGCTCAGCGCTTTAGAAAGGTATAGAGTCTTGAGTCGAGTCAAGGCTGATGTCGTGGTGTGTCGGAGAGTCCGCACGAGTCGTGAGTGTTCAAGCACAGTGACGAGTCATGAGCAGCCCAAAAGCACGCCGGCCGGCCCCTGATTGCGCTTTCTGGTGCGTGCGTGCGCGTGTGTTGGTTCCCGCGCTGCATGCCTCGTTTCAACTCCACGCGCGTCCACGACCTTAGATTCAAGACACGTGACCGGTCATGTGCCCACTCAAAACTCAACAAGGGCAGAATTTACTCTTGACTCTTGACTCACGACTGTGACTCTTGACGCTACACTAGACTTTGACTCACACTCGTCAAGACTCTTCATCATAAATTGACTTCTCAAGACTCATTGCCGTTGTGACTCGTGGCTACTCACGACTATCAGAGCACTCTCCACTCGAGACAGATCTCGTCAACTTGAGCCTCTTCAGTAATGCGCTGACCTTGCCGTTCTTGGCTCGCTCGGCCTTACGTTCACATTCACGATTCGTAACCTGCATTCTGGAGTGCTGCTCAAGTGACGGCTCAAGGCTGTGTCCTGGCTGTCGTCGAGCCACCATTAGCTGCCGGCCACAGCTGATGCCTGAAGTGAAGGTCCAGTCCGCGACCTTGAGTGCTATGTGCACTAGCATCGCATCCAACACGGAATCCTAGTCGCTGCGGACTTATCTGGCCTCGCCTTGCACGTGCATACATCCACCCGATCATCCGCTTTCCCTTTTACCGAATTGCATCATGGGTGAGTAGTCGCTGGCTAGGCGACCAGGTCTGCTTGCGCCAACACTCGAGCTATCATTTAACGCTGAAGCTGACGACTGCGTCTTATGACTCCGCCTATGAAACGCGCTTCTATCTCTCAGAGCCAGGCCTGGATGGCGGATCAAATGACGGCTGTCAGACGCGCTCGGCGCAACAAGTGATGGACGAGGATCCGTCAGAACCAGTGATGGAAGCAAACTCAGAAAAACCACGGCTAGCTGAGGTCAGTCCTCGACAATATGCACTGGCCGAAGCCGAGCTCTGGCTGGAGAATCTCTTCAGAGACGCCAATGTGGGAGAAGATTTCGAATTGTTATGCCGCCTCTACAATACTTGCGATGGTCCTGAACATCCACGTTGGGAGGACATGGAAGTGGCATTGTTACATATTCTGTCGTGCATCATGAAGATGAAGAAAAAGAAGGAAAGCAATACGCCTGAAGCTGTTCACGATCTCTTTAAGGGCCGCGAAGATCAAAGTAAGCTAAACATCTTGAATACAATTTCCGAGGCAGACGCATACTTTGAGCGCAGGAAGCCCATTAGTCTTGGCAAGATGAAGTTTCAACGACTTGAAACGCTCAGGGGTTTTTTCCCGCCCCCACTTCCCGAAAGCAATCTACGCACCACTCGCTCAGACGACGCACGCGTCTACGCTCAGCTCACGTCGGAATTCTACGATACGACGTTTCTTGGTGACGCTGATGCGTTCTTCGCTCGAGTCCTTGCAAAATACGAGCTCACATTTACCGATGAGCGCTTGCAAACTGTCATCGAGATGCAAGACTCAACACGGGAAGACGCCTCTGATGATGCCTCCGGTAATGTCTTAATGGACACATCTGAAGAGCTCGCTGCAAATTCATCTCAGACTGCTGCTTCCACCTCCAACTCCGGTCCTCACGATAGCTCTCCGGATCAGTCAACTCGGTCTTCTGGGCAAGACTCAGAGCGCGTCTTCGGCCCCGATCAAATTCGGCCAGCACCCTACCATTCGCGCTCTCTGGCAGTTGTGCAAAGCAGTGGCACGGGCAAGTCTCGCTTGATTCAGCAATTGAATGGCTACATGCCTCCAGATCAGCGCACACCCACTCTACATCTCACCTTCTATCTGTGCTTTCGACCCAAGAACGAGAGCGGATTTCCACTAGGGGACTGGAGATTTCTCGCGTGGCTCTCAGAGGACGTGCGCAGGGTCTTGCCACCCTCTGCTCCCGGACCGGCAGCTTGCTACAAAGTGCGATGTATCACACTTCTCCGCGCAATCTATCAAGCGAGCACTGTCTCTCTCCGCGACCATGCTGGCGATAGCTGCTATACCCTTGCGCAGTACTGGCGAAATATCTCTGGTCCAAACAAAGACGCTGCCTACGCCACGCGGCACGAGGGCCACTTCAATGTCCCGCTGTACGACGAGGCTGAACACAACACCAAAAGAATCTGGTCGGAAGTGTTCCAAGATCTCAACGCTAACAGGTACGATGACGAGGACTCCTTTGTGCGGAAGTACAGGGGGCTGCTGCGAGCGGACGCTTTGGCGTTAGAGACGACGCTGGCAGCGCGAGTCACAGCCGAGCAGGCACAGGTATGGTTCCACGTCTGCTTGGATGAACTTGCAAACATTCGTCCACGACATTTGAAAGCGGAGACAAAGACCGGAAAGCTTGCGTGGGTGGAAGACCTGCGGTCGCTCTTCTGCCCCGACGATGAAACCACTCTGCTACCTCCCTGCTTCTGGATCATCATGCTAGGAACCAACGCGAGCTTTGCGACACTGTGCCCAGCCATGCCTGTTGCCTGCTCGTCTCGTGTTCAATCGGGAAAGCTAAGGCATTTGCCGCCTTATACACAACCCGTTCAAGACGTATGGCTGCAGGCTGACGCAGCTCGAAAAGCCACTATTCTACATGCCTCGCCGTTTCAAGCAAGCAGAGTTCACGTGCTTGCGCTGTTCGGGAGGCCACTTTGGCGCTCGCTCATCCGCTATGATGAGATGGATCCCATTTTTGGTCCAGCAAAGCTGTCTTACTGCGGCGGTGAGAAGCTCTATTTTGTACTCGAAAAGCTCTTGAGGCTCTCGATCAATACGCTCGACTTCTCAACAATCTCTCTTGATACTTCGCGCCTTTTCGCGCTTCTAGGTCAGCGCATCGTCTTAGATGATGGAGCGGGAGATGGAGAGTCGTGCGTGACACCGTCTGTCATGAGCCCCGACGAACAGAAGAGACAGGTCGACGAGCATCTTCGGATGCTCCACAACATCAGCAAGGCAGGCGACATCGTCTCTACGTACGTTCTGTGCGAGCCTCTAGTGTCTCACATAACAGCATCCGTGATGAGCCTTCCTAATCCCTTGAGGAAGGGCTTGACATTGTGGGAACTCTGTTGGCGTCGTCTTAAACATGAGGCTCAACACAGAGTCGTCTATGATCAGGGCACGTACGGCGAGATCACAGCTCAAGCCCTCTTGGCTCTATGCAAGGACGCATCTAAACGGCCAAGACCCTCTCTACTGGGACAGCAATCGAGCCCAAATTTCACAGATCCAGCGTACCACTTCATAGAGTTGAGCTCATTCCTCAAAGCCACATTCAGCACCCTTCACATGGTAGGATCATCCGAAGACGTTCCGCGAGCGCACGGGAGCGTCAACTCGCCAGCAGCTTGGAACAATTTGTTGAAAGACGCGAAGAAATGCTGGGTCAATTTCACGAGCTTTTCGCGCGCTGGGAAGTGCATTGAGCAGATCGAATTTGGTCACCTCCAACGTGCGTGGCTTCTCATGACTGCGATCGTCGGCGCAAGGGGCCAAGAGAAGTGGGATATAGTAATTCCAGTGTACTGCGGTTCCATCTCTGCAAACCTACAGCTCGAAGCTTTCACCTTCATCGAAATTTAGGTAAAGTCTCAAAAACGGCCTTACACACAAACCCAAGCTCCGAGTCCCTCGCCCATTCTTAAGTCGTTGATCAAGCCACCCATCGTCATGCTGCTGAACGTTGGCATGAATCCGGCAAATACTCGAGAAGTGACAATACGGTCGTATCCTAGAAGCGCAGGGCCACACACACGCTCGGTCAACGGCGAGGAGCAGCCGAGATGGTACAACATTATGACCAAAGGCTTGCATACTGTCAATCATCCTGGCCTTGGCAAGCTCATGCCCAATCTCGGTGACCTTGAAGACTTTGCCATCACCAAAAATTCTTTGTGGGTTCTAGACGAATGGGACGAACAGGACCAACGCGCCGACGACCACAAAACGCGCAAGGCTTTCGCTGAGGATTGGTCCTCCTTGTAGTTAGAGGGTTAGAATCTTCACTCTGGTGCAAGCTCCCCGCTCTTCAGTTGAACGCAGCTCACTCAATACAATGATCAAAGCAGGCCTGCTGCAATCGACCAAGATCACTTTCTGTAGCGCATCGAATACGACCACGTTCTCATCCGTCATCGGGCAACATCGCGACGTTCGCGGCAGACTCATCACATGCGCGCTCTCGTCAATCGCTGCACATTTGCATCCGCGTCTGCCATTTCGTCACAATTCACCATCTGTTCCATCACGACCGCTTCAATTCCACTCACAAATGTACCAGACATGTTCGCCCTTGAATTTGAGAAATAAATCGACAGCATACTTGCCTTCCACTGGCTCGCTCATCTTGGGCGACCCATCATCATTCCCGAAGCGGAAGCCTGATGCCCTCTTTTGCCAACAGACCTTGGCGAGCGGGACGGGAGTGTGATGCCATTTATACTTTCACATGGATGCGCGTCTGTCGAGAAGCACCTTCAACAAGGATGGGCGAGACGCTGGTGCATGCTTAGAAGTACGTGGCGCCGCAAGCTGAGCGAAAGCTTTCACATTGCGATCGTGCGGGGAAGAGAAGACGGGCATTTGAGCCCACGGTGGAAGCTTCGCCCACGACGTTGGTCATCGCATACCTGCTTTTGCCAGCATATTGCGCTAGTAACGCAGTTCTGTAGCTCGGTGGAAGATGAAGGATGTCAACGAAAAGATGTGTGCGTGCTGTGCTGTGAAGTGAAGGCGCCAGCATCGATCTGCATGGCTTTTTTCTGAGAGCACGTGTCGCATTTCGTTCGCCGCGCTACCGTTACGGAGCAAACGTTCGCGCGAAGCCCGATTTTGTTGATACGCTCGCTCGCTCGCACTGCTGAGCAGGCTTCTCTCGCAGATCTGAAAGTTGGAATCACGAATCGCACGCACGCACAATGCCTTGCAAATCATTGCGAATATTGGGCGACATTTCAAGAGCGATGGGTCGGACATTTGTGGTCGCCGCGCGTCGCAATGGTCACATCATATGATGTCGAACAACCCGAATCACGAATGTGGCTGTGCACTCGCGTTCAAATTGTGCCCGACGAACGCGAGGGCTGTCATGCGGATGCTCTTTGCATCCGCGTCTTCATGCTTGCTGTACACTCAGACTCGGACTGCACCGGCGACAAATCACGATCAAGGGAGTGAAGTTCGACCATGACCCTGCCCTCGACTCGTGACCGTACCGCGTAGCCGTTTTCGTGTGGGCGTGATAGGGAATACCGTAATGCATACGCGATGACGAATCGAGAATGGCGCCTGGCGGTGGTCGCGGGAGAGCAGAGGCAGCAACAAACAACCACCGTCAAGCCCGCCGCTGCATGTTTGCACGTTGAGGAGGAGGAGGAGGAGGAGGAGGAGGAGGAGGAGGAGGAGGAGGCAGCACTCAGAAGAGACTCACGACTTACAACTTATGAATCGTGGACTCACACTAGAGGAGCATCACATGCACCAGCGACATACAGTCACGAGTCAAGTACCGCGGTATAGCAGCGGCCAGAGGCCTGCATGGATGAGAGAAGATCCCCGGACGTTGAGGGTTGTTGCATGATGATGCGCGCGGTCTCGGCACACCGTGTCTCGAATCCAGCAGAAACTTGCCAGCAAGTCTCAAGCGCGTCTCGAGTCTGAGCTTGCCCGCGCGCCGATACATGTGAGCCCGCAGAATCACGAATGAAATAAGTCACTGATGAGCGCACGCAGACACGCAGGGTTCGAATACAAAGATGGATGGAGGCGTAATGAGGCGGGGAAAGTCACCTCACAGGTTCTCTTAACATTGGCACCACAGATGAGCAGCAGCATGGCGAGTCGAGCGCGCGGTCCAGCACACGGCACGGCCTTGCTTGGCTTGGTTTGCAGAGCGATAGGTGCTGCTCGTTGCCGTTGCGTTGCACCGCCGCGCGCTTGTCGCGGTGTCTCCCGTTGCGGAGACGCTGATGCACGCGTACGTCGCACTCATATAGCAATGTGAATGCAGCAGCAGCTAGCAGACAGACGGCCTACTTGACTCTCGCAGCTACGATATACAAAGCAGCTGCAGCAAATCAGCCACGCGCTCGCTATTATTCAAGATTATTATATACCTTTACGCAAATCACTCCTGACGTGCGCGATAGGCTGTTTCCAATTTCGTGCGCATGCTTGGCTCGACCGCGAGGTGCATGCAGCAACGCTACGACACGCGGCCACATGCATCAGTCACAACTCACAGATGCGCCAATTCTGAATTGAATCAGGACCTTGAATGTCAATCAAGAACAATCACAGGTGTGAATTTCAAATGTGGGTGTGCTCAACGATGAGCGGCGCGTCCGGCAAGGCCACAGATCCGTCAGCAGACTCCGCTGTGCCGCTGCAGCTGCCCTCAAAGACCATCGTGAATCATGTGGATATCAATCGTGCATGTCAATCCACTCACAATTGAGGATTTTGGCTCGCCCTTTCTTGATCGTCTTATCCTCCTACAAGCGGTGTAGAGGCGGGCGCTTCGCATCCCAACACACGCCCTCACGACTGTGACCCCTTACCACGACCAGCGAACTCTTCCAAAGTGACGGTGTGACTGCTCTTTCATCCCGACATCTCAATAGGCCCTATCATTGACCACGCGATTCAAGTGTCACCTTTGTCGGACATAAAAGCATCCTAAACTGCTAAGCTGCAATCGTGCAGTGGTAGAGGGCGCCTTCTGAAGGAACAGTCAGATCAGAGGGCACTTGCTTTCGCAGGGGCAAACAAAATCTCCGAAGCAGCTGCTCTGCTCACTGAGCCTGGGTCACGATGGTGAATCAACAACCCCTGGGACACACTCCGCTCTTTGAGCTGCCTGGCGATCCTCTCGCGCAGGCCTCGATCAATGTGCCTCCACCTCAGCAACAGCGAGCGGCCTTTACCAACAGCGGCCCCAACAATGCGGTGGCATCTTACAATCAGGCACCTCGAAAGAGCGCACCTGCTCCCATCGCCACGAACCGGGTTGCATCGCCCAGCAGCATGTTCAGTCCGACCAGTCCTACCTCGCCCAGCGCACGAGCTGGCGCAAGTGGTAGCGTGGCGCCTGTAGGCTCAATCGCAGCTAGACGTAGACGAGAGGAAGATGTGAAGCGACCCACCAGCCCCCAGTGAGTGTCTCGTCCGACAGAGCAGACGCTCGCATTCCTCATCTCGGCTTTTCAGAGGTAGTGGGGAGAAATTCTTGCACAACATGGGGATTCGTGAGGATGCGCTTTACCGTGACTGGGTGTGGGCGTGCGCGAGCTCTAGAGCAATACCTGACGCAGCAATGATCTGTCCCCAACAGCATCACCCAGCCTTCCATTCGGCACAGCATCTCAGGCAGGAGGCCAGAAATTGGCTCTCCAGCTCCCCACAGGCAGTCCTCGCTGGGCAAAAGTGAAGGATATGGCGTAGTGTTCGAGATTGATGAGGATGACGAGGCGGACAAAGGTCATCGGCATGTTGGCGCTCGTTCTGCCAGCCCAGCACCTCATCGCACAGACTCCCCTCGGCGCCGGGGTAGCGTGATGGATGAGGATGGTAGGAGGACTCCCGCAGCATACAGGCCTCCCACTCGTACCGCCTCGCGAATGGGTCCTGACGCGCCGTATCATGCTCATCCGCTGGCGAGATCGCACGCCGCAAGCGATAGCGTGTCTTCCACCAACTCTACCAAGACGAATCTCAATACGCCTCCTCAACCGCCTCCAGGTGCATCTGGATCTTCGCCGATGCAAAGACCCCAAGCGCGCAGAGGCGCGATGCGATTGTCTCGCCGAAGGCCCAGATTGCGGAGAAAGCCCAAGCCGCCCAGCTTGTCAGCGCGGATAGCGTGCTTCACGAAGGCCACAGTCTGGGCCTTGAGCCATCCTGGGGATGCGTGTCAAGCGGGTCACGAGGACCTTCGAGCTCGATTGAAAGCAGTTGATGCCGCGTTTAGGGACAAGCAGGGAAGAAGGACGCTACGACCGGAGTGGATAGGCGCTTACGTTCCGCTCTTGATCTGGCTTGTGGTGAGCCTGACTTCCACATTTACTGTCTTGATTTGGCATACAAAGGTATTCAGAGGTGAGTCGAGCCGATTGCAGCCTCTGTGCTCGATGCCAGGCACTTGGTCTTTGACGCGCCGCTTGTGGATTGCATTCTGTTAGCATTGGATCATTTGGCTAGAACCCTGCAAGGGCTGGGTCTCTCTGGAAGATTGATACTCGGCGGGCTAATCTTTCTCACTACCTTCCGTGAGTCGGACGAGCTTCCAAAGGAGCTCAGCGCAAAGACTCATTTGTCCATGTCGAAAATTCGCCAAAAACAGCGCCCCTACCGCTGTATTCGACTTTAATTGTCATCAGCGGCTTCTCGTTTGGTCTCGTTCAAGGATTCGTCATCTCGTACATCGCTGCGTTGGCAGGAGCTATCACTGTATTCTTGCTATCGCGCACCTTCTTGAAGACTTGGATGGTGGGGCTCCTCAACAAGAGTGGTGGGCTTCGAAAAGTTAGTCGAGGTCTCTTTCGCATCAGCTGCGCTCCACCGATTCTCACGCCTCTTGCCTTATACAGGTTGTGCGAGCGATAGAGAAGCAACCGAAGCTGCTCTTCCTCGTCAGACTGGCGCCTTATCCGTACAATTTGATGGTGAGCAGCTCGACCCAGAACAAGATGCTCGGCTGTCTGCCTGACCCTGTCGCTATTCCTCAGAATACGCTTCTCGCCTCCTCTCCGACCTTGACGCTCAAGACTTACACGCTTTGCACGGCTGTGGCGCTGCCAAAGCTGCTAGTCCATACTGGTCTGGGCACAACCATCAAGAACTTCGCCGCGTACAATGGCGCAGGAACGGCAGCCCCCGTCAATGCAACAGCTATCGCTGTCAATGGCACTAGCGCGATAGGCGCCGCTGCCAATGTCACCTTGCTGACCAACACGACGGCGCCTGCAAGCACGGGAGCCAGTCATACCGCGGAGACAATCAAGCATGTTGCCGGCTTCGTTGGTGTTGGATTGTGTATTGGAATCTTCTTCTACCTATTCAGCGTCGCTTCTGCCGCCGTAGACGAGCTGGACGACGAGGCGGAGGGCGCACAGCTTCGTGCTGCGGGCGAATACGATGCCCTGGCCATGGAAGATGAGGACGATCTGGACTATACGGACGAGGAAGACAACACGGAGCCGAAGCGGAGCGCAGATGACGCTGATGTGGACGAGCAGCCTCTCGATGCGGTTGCCGTTGCGGTGGATAACCATCTACCCATGTCGGAACTGCACGAATCAAGTGCGTCGTCGCCATGGCTGCAAAGACCCTCGACTCAGCTACCTGCCCGCCAACCCAATGCTCGACGAGCAGAAGGCGCGGGTCATCTGGCAAGCAACAGCAGCGCTTCCACGCTCATTTCCGACCTGGAAGCCAGTAGCGATGGACAGAGCAGCGATGCGCGAATCTCGTCATCATCGCAGCCTCATCACAAGCTAGTGTATGCCTCCTTTGACGAGCAGCCTGTCAGCCAGATCAGTCTGGCAGATAGCATTGGCGCGTTCGAAGATCATGCCGACGAAGCCTATCTACATAGTCAGCAGAGGCACAATGAGCCGATGGTGCACGTCGTGCGCGATCATATGGGATATCAGAATCCCAGTGCACACTATCGACGATGATAGACGCGGTGCGGCCCGTGAACACATAGATTGCGGTACGATGTCACTCGAAGGAAGAGAGCTCGTGTCCGAGCTTTGGCAATGCCCGCATCGATTATCACAAGGAATTTCTACACATTGTAAATGTTCATCATCTTCAATACATCTCGTCACCTTCGGAAAGAGGTTGAGATGCGTCGTGCGGAAGCGTGGCCTTCTCCCCCCCC